GTTTTGCAAGTAGGTATATACACTAATTTAAAAAAAACTGATCTTAATATGATCTTTGATATATTTACATGAATTTATAAAAATCAATAAAAAGGAAGAAATTAAAACAAGACAAAAGAGAGCGTTCAGCCTCATTGATCTTTTGTCTATTTGATTTATTCACTTTACTAAAATACGGTAAATTTCRTAGCTTTTTTCTGTATGGCAAATGTTATATTTCGTATAGACAACATTTTGCCAATCTATTGTTTTTAAATTTCAAAAGGCACCTTCTTTGTCTCTTGTTTTCGTTGTAATACTATTAAAGGCATATACTATTAAAGGCATACATTGATCACATTTTTTGTGCAAYCTAGARTATATCTAAGAATACATTGTACATACAAAAGGAGCGACAAAGAATTCACTGTTCAGCATGGTGATACCTCTTTTAAGCCTTTCCAAAATAATCGCTGCCAAAAGCCATGTCATAAAACTCGAAAATACTCTTCTCATCTTTGGGCAGAACATCGCCACATGGAAGCGCGAGMTTATTAGCGCAAGTGTTGCTTGTAGGGAAGCAAGACTGGCATTGATGTGAGAACTCGACTTTCGGCGGAATGGCAAAGCCTAGTACGGGTTCATTTTCGCTCCCTGTTACAAACTTGACCACCATTTCTAAAGAGGGCACAATTGATCTCCTCCCAGCTAAAGGAAAGAGAAAAAATCGAGTAGGTGACATGGATGCAGTTTAAAGCCTACATTCCCGGTTTTTTGTCTTTATACTATGTGGATTGACGGTATGTGGAATGATTACCTGCAACTTCCTTTAAGTAGTTTAGGAAAAATCTATAAYTTTTTTCTTCTGATATCCTGGCATTCGTTCCATCTTCTGAAAACTCTGGTTTCAGCAACCTCACTAGCTTTGGGTAACTCATCGGATGAGTTGCCGTTTTAACGAACAGAAATTTCAGACATGCTTTCAATTTGAAGAGCTGCAAGAGATGAAACATTAATAAGACCACAATATCGGGCTCACGTGATCTCTTCTGCCGTRTGCAGTTTGCCGTGAACGTCATGCGTAAGCTTTCTTTAACAATAATATACCTTGAGTAGACCAAATTTGGATAATCCTTCTCTAAACTGTTGCTCCTCCTTGGAAACTTCAATATCTACGAATAACTTCGTAATCATACTTTCATGGAGAAATGAAGGAAGAGGTCRACCTTGCAGTAAGCTGTATCCTATTAGATATAAAATATATAAGTCCTGCATGGCGTCATTGCTACTCAAAAGGAAAAGGAAAGTATTCTAAAAAAGAGAAAAAGTTGGCCAGACAATTGAGAAAACAGAAAATTAACAGACAATTGAAAACGGAACAGACATTTCAATAAAAGAAAGAGAACGATACGGGAAAGGGAAGAAAAAGAAAAAGCTATGAACGAAAGAGAGAAAATAGAGGAAGCCAAAGGAATAAAGAATGGCAAATGTAAAGATAAATACAGCTAAGGTTTAAAAAGTTAATTAAATAAGTTTAAGACGTCAATGTAAGTCTAGAAGACGTTTCTTACCGAATATGACACCAGCCCCGAAAAAATACTGTTTGTATAGTGCTGCTTTATCTCTTATTAGGACAAGAGATTCATCTTCGTGTTCCTCAAACAGCCTATCTTTTACCTCCTTCATAACTGTGCATAGAAACTGRCTCCTCGGCCCCCCATAATCCATTGCACACTCCCCATTGTAGGTGACATTCAACGGAATGCTATAGTCGATTTCAACCTGGTTGAGAGTCAACTCGGCCATCGCATCATCAAATAAAGCAAATCTAGAAACAAATATTTCGCGTGTATCTCCTTCCAGTAAGTTGAAGTTCGATATGTCCTCTTCTTCTAGGTCGAGCTTGCGTCCTCTTAAAAAGTGTTGCTGGAAGCACCTCAGGACGGCAACAGGGTCCTCGCATCCATCCCTGAAAAATTGAATYAAGGAAACTTAAAGATCTTAGCGGTATATTCGCCCTTATTTTCATCGTCACATTCATACTAAAAATAGTGAAGTATTGTTCTTACATTTCTTTGACTGTCTCATCTACAGCTTTTTGGAGATGTTCNAAATTTTTCGAGCGAAAAGAAAATTTTGCCGGTAAGTCGTGTCTCTGTCCTCTGATATAAACACGGTCGTCAGCCAATCAGAGCGCGCGTTATATATCAAAAATTTTATAATCGCGGATATAAATTTCCTGGACTCGTATGGACAGGGCCTTTCTTAACCTAAACGAAGCCGTGCTGGATTTACTTCCATAATCAGAAATTGTTCGAATTTCTAGGCAATCGTTGCGCATGCTCAATGTTGTTTTTTTTCCTTTCTCTCTCGCGAGGTAGGAGTCGCGCGGGGTTAGACGTGACATGTAAATGCTCAAAGTAGTTTGCAGTCTGATCGTTTACATAGCGTCTATGTGGCGACTGGACCTAAGATACCACTGTATAGATTGTGATAAGTAGATGACAATGAAAAGCTAAGCTCTTCCTATGTTAGGGAAGATTTTACGACTGTAGTAATACAATACGATCTCCGTTAACGGCTGAAGAAAAGGGCCACAATTGTTAATAATATTAAATTGTTCAGTATTATAAGCATGTAAAAGTTGAACCTTTTTAAAGTTTTAAAGAATTGTATTTATTTTTTGTTATACTTGTGTTTATAGGATATTAATTTCTTTTGTGAATAAAATTAATGTCGTTTGCAAAACTTTCATACTTATTTAGTGACTGAGTTTAGAGCTCTGCATGTTGCTGTCGGTTTTGATTGCTGCAGTTATTGCATTTGCGAACTCCATGCAACGGTTGAACGCTAACCGTCATTTGGTGAATTTCCCTCTCCTGTCAATCAACCATTCCTCCCTGTTCGACCGTTAGAGTTCGCTTATTTACGCATTATTTTAACTTACTTTTAGTGTTTTTTACATCTTTGCGTTAACTTACGTGTTTGTTGTTTGTTGTATATGTTTATGTTCGCTTAAGCGTTGCGCTTACAGTCCTTGAATCTTGTCCGAGGGCCGTATATGGCGAATATGATAGGAGATGTTTTGCTAAAATCAGAGATTCTTCAAGCTTTAACACCGCTGTCATCTAGATTATACCAATCTTAAATCATGAATGTTTTCATGATGTGAATTCAACAAAACGCAGTGATGCATTATGGTAGAATAGCCTATAATTCCCGTGCGTAATATCCCAGTTGAAACCCAAACGGATGAGACCTGTTACCAGCTACTAATCAACTATCTCTAACCTTCACATTTTATCTAAATTTCGCAAATAGTGCAGTGGTCCAGTAAATGTTCCCTGTCAACTATTTCTTGGTTTGAACAACCCCGGGAACCATGCAATTCTTTCGCTCGTTCCTCGCTTGTGGAAATAGCCAGGAACGAACCATAGAAGATTACCTGGGTTCCCCCTTATATTGCACTCATTTTTTTTCCTGTTTTCACTTTAGTTTAATATTCCCCATTGTATGACTCTTTTTTTAATCATTTTTTCATATTGTTTAATTTCTCCTTTGTGCTAATCGCATCGTTTTCTCATTTTCCTGTTCCCTCTTCTCTTTATATTCCATATTCCACTTGTCGCTTTCTAAGCTTCTCGCCATTCTATTATCTTGGGGGTTTATTTCTCATTATACCTCAATAAATACAAATCCCTTATTATTTTCTTCAGCGGTCAGTATAATAAATATCCTTTCAACAAGTTTAATAAAAATGTTGTGTAATTTCCTATATTTTTTACATAGCCCCTTACTGAGTTAATAAGCCCGGAAAACCGATTCTCATTAATTATCAAACGACAGATCATGAAAATTGAGGCCCCACGGTAGTAGCACTTTTTGACAACTATTTTCCAATTAATATGGTTCCCGTTAGTGCAACTATAGACACCTTAAAATTGAAGGGGAAAAAATGAATCTAAATCGTTTATTTTATCCGAAATCACCTGCAAAAGACGGATGAAATAAAGTTTTAATTTATTATTTCCCTAGGCTCAGCTGCCATCTTTGGTAATAGATGCTATCTTACTAAATGCTATCCAACTACAGCAAACCAGAATCATGGTTTTATATTTAGAAATGAATAAGTGTCAGCCGTCTCTTTGTAGTTATATTTCCTTTGACAAGCAACTGACAGAGTTTCAGTCCTGATAGTTTGAAGTATTTACTTAATATTTTGTCTTCATAAATGAGACCTGACAAACTTTGTCAAAACATCTAAAAAACTAGATTCAAACTGAAAATGTTTTGACGTTTATTTCTGGGGATTGGTGAGAGAGGGGTGGGGGATTCTCTGTCCTTTCTCTTTTATTTATTCCTCTCAGTTTGCATTATTTCCAATAAAAATTATAATGATATAACGAGGATAATTCCTCAAATTACGATGGCAAAATCTAGATATAATATGATTTATTTATTTCAAATATATATATATAATGATAAAAGATGCATGGTATTTTCATCATTTACGGATAATCGTTATGTCAAAATACCGACAATTAGAAAGTTGTTGTATGTTGTTTCGATATTCTGGCCAAATTTAATTAGCCAATCACAGGGCCAAGGGAATATTTCCAATAAATAATTAAGGGTCGCTAACAGTGATAACGACGCGTAATGATGCTAAAAATGATCATTAAATTGTTGATTTTGTTTATTTGTATAAATTGATATATCATTATCTCTCGACATTGTTGTATCGTTATTATTTATTGAAAATACAACTGTTTTTCGGGATCTTTAGGTGAATATTGAATAATGAATAACGGTTCAAAATTGACTGGGAATAATCAATAATCAATACAACTCCTAAGGAATAACGAATAATGAAAAAATAATAATGAAAAAGAAATAATGAATAATGAAAAAGATCATAAAAAATAATGATTAATAGCAAAAAATATTTACAATGAATAACGGGAAAAAATAAGACACGAACAAAGAATAATTGGCATGTAATTATTCACCTTCAGTCCCCGATGACTTGCCTTGTGCTTGTATATCTACTGTTCCACAATCGAGACGTCATCTCTTAAAATTTCATTGTCTATAATCAGAAAATAGAATTATAAAATCTACAATACAATTAAGCTTTTTTCAATTTATATTTAGCTAATGGAAAAAAGAAGATATACATAATGGGATTCATTCTGAAAGACATGAGCTAAAGAAGTTCTTCTCAAAAAATATTTTACTTTTCCGCGTCCCTGAATCAATCCATTGTATACACTATTATTTCTTGACTAAGCTATCCCCCTTTGTAACGTTCTCCAAATCTGGATCCGCCTTGTTATTCATCTCTCTCCGGTCCCAACCACCAATATAGATTTCACATCTTCAAACATTTTGTTTCTGTATTCATTGAATATCCTTTATTCCAATTTCATGCAGATTTTATTTCTTTCTATAATAATGTATCTGCAGTTGTCTAAATGTTCATCGTTTCACCTTTTTCCCTAATCCTTCATTACTAAATATTAAGCCAAATATAGGGGATGAGGGTTATTGCATGGAACCGCCAGGGACATGGTTCGGTCCGGAAATTGCTCCAAAGCGCGCTGGTGTCAAAGACGACATCCATTGGCGTTTAGAACGCCTCTTTGCCTCTTAACATGAGCGGAGGTGCGATAATTTGTTTATCACTAAGCGTTGCTCTGTTTGAATCTAACGGTCGTTCTCTTCGCGCCTTAGAGTCAACAACAAATATTCATTGTTGGCATCTGGTGGTGACTTTTTTGAGGAAAAATTAATAGGAAATGCCGGAGTATTTGGACGCTTTCCACTTAGTCAGAACTGGCCGGTCAGACCGGTCTATGTAGAAGTAAATAATACCGTCTGTCAACATTTTTCAGTCATTTTCGAGTTTTTCCATTGAATAATGAAAACTTGACATTTTCTCTAGGTCTGTTCAGCCAGTTTTGACAAAGGGAAAGCGCCCTTTGTATATTGATTATTGTAGATTTTAATTTTTTTTGTATAAACTGAAATATGAACTTCTCTCTAGTTGTACAAATAGGACTTGACATGTTTGGATATCACAATCCAAGTAGTTTTGAAACACTGTCCTCGGAAATTTCATATCTCGTGCAAATTAATCAATTGCTTGTGAAATGAATATTTGAAATTATTCGAGAGAAGGCTGAAATGTGAACTCTTAGTTTGAGAAAGAAGACTTAATTTTCAATCACATGAGCTGATAATTCGTCCACCTTAACTTCTAGCGATCACGTTACATAAGCGAGCTTCAAATGACGGGCGCCATCGGTCCTGTCCAAAGGTTTCACTGCTTGCGATTTTTGGGGATATTTTTTTGTTCATTTTCATAAGACAACAACAACAATAACAAACTCAGTTATTTAAAATAATGCATGTCTACTGATCCAGATATGTATGAGATATATACAGTACAGAGTTGTATACTTTTCTGACTTAAGTGACTATTGAAAGCCCGTTGCATGGAACGTTTTCCTTTCTCTTACAACCTAATGCTCAATTCAGCTGTAAATTTCAATATCAAAACCTGAGTTGTGAAAAGCATTTGAAAGCAATTAAATCTTTTTGTTTTCTTTTTACACCACACATATTATACAATTTGGAATTGTGAATGAAAATTGTGAATTGGTTGTGTGCAGATGTTTCATTACATGTCATATAGATGAAAACTCGGCTAATTGATGGCGACTCGTGTATATATTTTGTACGCATCAGCTTAAACTGCTGTTGCCAACTGTGCATGGTTTACTCGGACTGTGAAACATTATTGAATAGTGTCTTCTAAGCCTGATAATAGTCATATATATATTAGAGTTAAAAACCCGTGAAATAGAAAATAGACTGATACATCTTAGTACCGCTCGAATTTAGTGGCTTTCTTTTGTCTCTATTTTGTTTCACGGTTTTTGTGACCTCTCTAATTCTTACAATTGAAAGCAAGTTATTGTTATTGTTGTTGTTGTGTTTTTTTTCAAAGGCTTTTAGTGTCACAGCAATAGCCTAGTCATTTGTTTTAGAGTCCGGTGTAACCAAATTTACATTTATTGAATTAAACACTGTACTGCATATGCTTGACTTGTATCACTGAATTTGAACGATCTCAGACGAGAAAAAACAACCCTATTATTTGCTTATCCTTAATAGGTCTTTAGCCAGAAACTACTTTTGAAATAGTCAACTAGATGTAGACTAGAACGTTGTCAAATCTCGAAAGTGTTTTGTTTTCTTTACTTTGGGTCCAGTCCCATTTCTGCCACCATAAAAGACAGCGGTCTCAATTCATTCATAATCGGCACTGACTTATTTTTTTCAAGAGATCTTAGCGTTATCAGGGATACAACTTTGAAGCAGCGCATTTTTAAAAATAACATCATTTGTTGTTGTTCCTATGAAGAACTTTTTCTTAGGTCTGTTTTGATATAAAACAGTGCGGTTAGTCTTGCCTATTCCGACTTTCTCTACCGGTGAAAAACAGCAACAACAAATATGCAATCGCAAAAGAAAGACAAATTAGTGACAATTTTAAATGACAATAAATGCAAGGAAGTCTTAATGAAAACATAAAGTTATCGTTTTAAAAGGATTGAAAATTACCGAAATATCGGCAGAATAAACACGCTTAGCCGCGCTTATTTTCTTTTATAAACAGATCAATCATAGAATCCAAGTTGAATGTCCCACTTCTGCCACCAACAAAGAGATTTTTCATTACGTATTTCTCGTTTTAGATCCATTGTCAATAGTTTGTATTTCCAGCAAGTCAAACATAATCCCTCGAATGGCAATCTTGTCGTACCAACAAAAAGCTTCCAAGGCCTACTATGACATTATTTCCATGTCCTACAAGAGCCGACCAAGGGACATTCTAAACATTGCCATGACTTTGAATGAATGTTTGCGTTTGGTATTTACAGTTTCATTCGACTTGAGTCTGACCCAAACATCATTTTAATCAGTTGTGCATTTAAAAACTTTGATTCCATTGCCGACTCCATTTATGATATATCAACTTCTACGCATTCAGACTTTCACTTTGACTCTTATCAAATCTGTGTTCTATTTCTGATAAAAAAACGCATAAAATTAACAGCTTGCTAACGACTTCACATTTTCTCGAGATTTCATGTCTAAATGTAGTCATAAAAACATCTATTTTGTTGTATTAGTTTTGATTATTTTTGAGGATTTCCTTTTATGTTTTTTTTCGCATATATTAATAATTCTAGTGAATGTAAGTATGTTCATTTAATATAATGTAAATATCGAAAGGGAACCACTATACACTCGAAAAGAACATTTTTCGCTGACTACTGAGCTAATTTGAAAAAAATAATTCTGCGGTTTTGTGTGTAGGTAGTGGTTTGCATTTACTTGATAAAAACCGCCTAGGATAATATTAATAATGCTAACCATAATATTGATTTTAAGTGAATTCGTAGAGTAATGTGATAAATTCATATCATTACTGAATGGCAGTACGGGCAAAGCGAATCTATTGATACTGGAAATGAAAATGTAAGTTTTTAATTTGGACATTGACGAACTTTAGCCCCGTCATTATATTCACTCATAAGTTTATGATGACATGGCCATTAAATTTTCTTGTCATCATGCCTTATAAAAACCTTGTAGACATTCGTGATTAATAATAACACATCTAATAAAATGTATATTAATAATCTTAAGTAAAAATACCCGAATTTAGAGTCCCTACGTGAAGACATTCATGTCAAGGCCTATTTGGAGGACGATTTTGATGTTAAATTGGTAATGAATATGTAAAAGTCCTTTAACTTATGTTTGCCCGTTGTTTCCGGGCGATTTTGACAGTCGCAAATCTGCCAACAGTGTTATTGAAAGCCTTCATATCGCACATAAAACACGGTGCGACTCATCTAATCTCGCATTAATACCCATCTCTGGCAGCTGATCAAATAGCTCTTGCTTCACCAACGTCCTGCCCCCTACATCAAAAGTCTTCTGACATCAGGGGTAATGCCAACGACTTTATAATGCGTGAGTGATCATTTGTCAGTCACAATTTCAAGAGACATCGTATCCAACGGAGCAAGAGAGAACAGAATAAGAATTACTTGGACAAAATCTTTCAGTCCTCGGTGGTGGCTATTAACAACACCTTAATTGAAGTCGTAGTAATTCTGTAACTTTAAAGTTACATACAGCTGCTGTAGAGAACCTTCTTGACGTTAAAAAGAACCTTTTTTTATTACGTATAGCTGATTCACGACATCCACAATATTAAACACTAAACATTCTTTGAAGGAAACAGGCCAGAGAAGTAGATTGCGTTCGTGAGTCGAATATTGCAGCAGTGAACAACATGGCTAAGAACATGTACCGTTATCCTACGATGGAAGAAATGAGCCCTGCATGTAGGCGCCAATTCCAAGAGTGCAACGCATCATCAAATTCAAGTGTATTACTTTTCCCCAAGCCTCAAGGTTGCTGGATAGACTGGGCTGAAGCTTGCTCTATAATAGATCCAAACCTGCTAGCACTTATTACAATCATCATTATCATTGCTGTATTTTCGTTCATTGGGAATACCATAGTATGTGTAGTGTTTTGCTTATATGAACAGCTTCGTTTAGTGAAACATTACTTCGTTATAAACTTAGCGATTGTTGACGATATTTTAGTGCTCGTATCTGTGCCAATGTTCGCTGCTCATATATATGGAGGCGAGCAGAATTTAAACCTTTGCAGGACGCAGATTCTTTTGGATGTTTTCTGTGGTACTGCGTCGATCATCAGTCTTGCAGTTATCAGCATCGAGCGCTACTTTGCCGTTGTTGTTCCTTTGCACTACGAGCAGCGTGTCACACCATACCGCGCTGTACTCATCATTATTTTCACTTGGTTCTACTCAGCCATGGTCTCTCTCATCCTTCTTGTTTCCTACGCAGTGCCAAGTTCACCTGCCAATACCTCGAAAGCCTGCTTGTTTTTCGGTGGCGAGTTTGTCATTCTGGTCACTGTCGCCAGCTTCATCCTTCCAGTATGTATTATGGCTTGGGCATATTGGAATATCTTTTTGGTGGCGCATGCACATGCGAGGCAAATCCAAGCTATGGTCCCGTCAAACCAGCAACTTCCTCAGAATAACACCGAAGGAGGAGATACGAGGCCTCAAGTTAAAATGCGAGGAGAGCTGAAAGCGGCTAAAACACTAACAAGTATAATGGCCACACATATATATTGTTGGTGCCCTTTATTCGTGTACTTTCTGGTAATTTCCTTCTGTCCACAGTGCAGATCTGATCCTGCCTCTAAGATTTCTAACTATATCATTATGGTTCTTCGTTACTGCAACACGCTGGCGAATCCCATCATTTATACTGGCATTAACAGACAATTTAGAGGCGCAATCAAGAAATTTGTCCTCAGGAAAAGAGGAAACGAGGAGCTGAATGCAACCGTATACACGCAACCAACTTAGAAACTCAGTGTTTTTGTGCCGTGCGCCGATAAATTTCTGACACTTGAATTTAAAAGACTTAACAATATAGAATCGAATGTCGCTTCCGTACATCCAGTTGATTTATTCATAGATATTTAAGGCTATGTATCAGTAATGTTATATGACAGTCCGTGCACAGAGCTACCTTCCGACTCGCTTGATAGGAAATGCAAAGGGAGTAAAAGTGAAATGAGGACGTACTAACGTGGGCAAAAACTTCAAAAATTATGGACACTGCTTCTGGCAAGGAGCCGGGATTTTAGTGCCAAGCACTTGTAGATGTACTTACAGAAATTCGAGTGCTTTTTAACAGTGGACCACTAGGCTTTTAAGAATGTGGGTGAATGGCTAAATTGAATCAATGACAAGCTTGTGTTTTTGAACATCGTTAAAGTTCTACTTACAAGTCAGACAGTCAGACCAATATCTTTAGATAACGAAAAGGGATATCGAACCTTTTGAAAGAGTATACTGCACACACTATCTTATAATCCTTTTTTACCGGTCTTAATCCCTATGAAACATGATCCTAAAATAAAGCTATTGCGAAGAGCTTCTCGGAAATCGCCCTTTCCCATTTCTAGAAAGCAATGTTTGGCGATAATTAGTCGTAGGCAAAATCAGTGGGTTATATTGACCTTAAAGTTTTTTTGCATCTTGTAAGAGTTCCACAGTAGAAACAAGCTTGATAATTAGCCTAAGTGGCTGCTCCTCAAGTCTTTTATTTCCTTGTGAATGAAGTTTGATTTAGATGACCATATGGCGCCATTTCAAAGGCATCAAATGACTTATGTTTATTTTTTTTAGAGATACAGCATCAGCCATTAGCTATAGAATAGGCCTAATGTACTAAAAGGTTAGATTTTTCTAATATGCTAAGTATATCAAATCGACAAAGTCACCGCGCGCGATGATCAATGATTGCCTAATCAGTACTCCTACGCAGTAGCTCATTTGGGTTTACTTTCTTTATGATATCTTTTGAAATCATGCAAGCTCGTTTGGTCATGTTAAAAGTTGAAATAAAACACCGCTAGCCATCAATTATACAAGTGAATTGACAACTTCTTTTGAGCTCATTGCTCAGTCGCTGTTAGCGTGCGTTGGCTGTAGAACTTTCTTTAAAAAAGATGATCACGGCGCCATGGTAGATAATTAAGACTTATACCTTAATCAAACGTCATGCAATTAATGCGCTGTATTTCAAAATCGATTGAAATAAGTCGATCCAAAAGCGCAATTTAAAAAAAAAATCATGTGTTGTGTACGTCTAAAAATTTGGCACATTAATAGATCGCGTGTCTACCAAATTAATCTGCCGAAAACGTGATTAAGTCCAAAACGTCGTACTTTAAATGAACTCAATTAAAATAATGGAAAATGCATTTTTTTACGACGACTGACACAAAAAGGGAAAATTCTGATTATAGTGATTTTAGGAGAAATGCATATCGTGTGTCATTTGCTAAATAATTAAAAACATTCAGAATACTACCGATCAAATATGAGCATTTGGTGTGTTGATTGGTATTATTTTCGAGAAAACAGGGCCCTAGCTTAAGATCGATGAGGAATTCCGTATAATAATCTTTAGTAGTATTCACCTTATTCGCAGTTAAATTCGGGATTATATTCGAAACACTTGTCTTTCCTATGGATCCGCATATTATGTATTAATCTTAATGGAGTCAATTGTTGAGAACTTCCAGTTCTTTTCAATCTGAACATTAAATTTCTAAGACTTTAGCATAAGATAGATGATTTGAAAAGGTGTGAGTTGAGAGATCATGAGCTGCTGAAATATGGTTCTGTAATAAATAAACGTCTTTTTTTTAGATTGATACACTTGAAGTTTCTAGTGATTAACAGACTATTCTCATCATAAAGTTAGTTTATAGCATCTCTCAATGCCTTATCGTTTTCACTGCATCTTCAGGGTCGTATCTATGATTTTCCTTAAGGGGGGATAGGAATGGTCTTCAAATATCACATTATCAGACTTATCAATATAGTGTGTCGTAAATGAATTTGTGTCAAAAGGTATTACATATCTCGTCAAATTTGGTGCTGAGTTCGGGGTACTGGTTGTTCCTTTTTACTAGCTTCTGTCAGGGGTTTCACGGGCACTCGAGGCACCCTGAATACCCTGATATTTTGATTACAAATTCGGAAAAATTACCGCAATATCTACCTTTTTTCTTGTTTTTCGTACGTTTTCGTGAGTTTGAAAACCGTTTGTTTTCCTCAATAAATTCTCACTCTTCATTGAATATTTCAATTCTAAATTTATTTATTTTGCTTTGTTCATTTATTTCCTCTTTAATTGATTCTCATTCGTTTGCATTGATTCAATAATATGTAATAAAAAACTGTGAATAGATATTATTGTCTTCTTTGTTTTGTTTTATTTGTTGTTAGTTTTAGACTTCGTATTGAACACATGTTAAGTTCCCCACTGCTTCAGTTTCATATAACGGCTATCTTCAGAATTTGTTAGCCCTTCCTTCATGGGAGAAATTAGTAACTGAGCTACAAATAACAGTGAATATACCATACTTTTAATATCCATCTCTAAGTGATATCAAGCTTTAATCAATCCAATCAGGGACATATGAGTTTCTTATCTTAATCTTTTAATCTTAGTAATATATTTTCAAATGACACTATATTTATTAGGGCAAAAATCCTTTTTTAAAGAACAGGAATATTTACAAAGCAAATATTAATCCTTTTAAAGCCAGAAAATCAAACATTCGCGACTTTAATGTTCCCCACATGATAACTAGCAAGTCTTTAAGCAAACCTTTCACCTGTGAGATTTAAAAAATATATATGTGGCAGCAATGTTAATCGTCTTTATCGCATGACTTTATCACTGCCCCATTTAACACAAGTATCACAACCCTCTTGGAACATTTTACGTTCTTTGATATTATCAAATAATTTCAATGCCTGTTTTTTAGCGGTCGAGCCTCGGAGGGCGCCTTTTTGACAACGTTTAGAACTAAATACATCTAGCGTAAAGTCATTTTTGAGTTGTTATGACGCAAAATCAATTATGCTCGTGTTCACTTCACTTCATATGTTATCTTCTTCCTTCCTGTTTTCTTATTTCCATTCGTAAATAAAGAACCACCTACTTAAAAAGTCAGAAGTCACGTTTCGATAATATCTTTTGGTATATCGACGATTTGCCAATCGAAATCACGTAGAATGTGAGTTCCACACTTTGAAAGAAGTCGTTGCTTTTGAAGCATATGTTACTTCTTTCCAAACACGGTCACTATCTTGAATAACCGGCCTTCAGTGACGTCGGATGCCCGAGGGGCAGAAGTACACATCTAAGCATGTCTTACATGCATTTATATCAGTTAATCATTGCTAATCGAAATCACGTACTAAAATCTTGTTGTTTTGAAGAAAGTGAGTTCTTCACAAAACGGCCACCATCTTGAATAATGTTCATTGACGAAATCCCGAGGGGCAGAAGTACATATCTAAGTATTTCTTCCATGCTTTCATTTTAGTTAAACATTTCTAATCAAAATCACGTAGACCCCTTGAATGCATTCTGGCGATGACAATGACTTTTAGAACTAACCCCTTGGCCATTCTTGCTATTGCCCCTACACTTGAACATTTTTATAATTCAAGATGGCGGCGGTATTGAGCATATTTTCAGTCAAAATAACGGTCGCCAATAGTCGAGGTAAGAAGTAATATAAGCTTCTCGGTGTGATTTCGATAGACATTGCGTAGATATGAATACAAACAGACATAAAGTCTGCAGTCATTTGTACGTATTGGCACTTCACTAAAATGATAATAATTCAAGATGGTGGCCGTTTTGTGAAAAAGTCATATACTTCAAAACAGCGAGATTCTATTGCATTTTTGAATGAAACCAAACCGCAGTCTAAAGCTAAACCCGAAATGTTGGATGGCAGTGCCAACGCCATCCAATATTGTTTGATCCAATTATATATTTAGTGTTTCAAACGACTAATCATAATATCAAAGCACATAAAATAAGGAAACAACAATTTGTACGTTACGTTCGACATCGGTATAATCAAAAGAAAATGTTGTGTGTCATCCAAAAATGGTGAACTGATAGCTTTGCTTAATGTTGCATTTTGCGGTATGATGCAGAATTTCTCGGCGACTATGCCAGAATGATGTTTAAGATATAGCCCAGATATGACGGGTCTACCTGGTAGGTAAAGGGGTCGTCGTTCACCCCCTCAGTTTGCGACAATTTTTATAGTGTGCACTTCCTCCTTGGGAGGGACATTGGGAGGCATTTCTTTGATGATAAGCGTGATTTTCAGGATGGACTTCACTACATGAGAGTTTTTGCGTCTCAAACATGCAGTCTTTCACTAATGCCAATTGTAATGTCGTCACTCTACTGTATGCCATTTACTATACAGTGTTTAGTTTTAAATTAGCGATATGAAAATTCGATTAGATTATGTCATTCCGAGACGAGGAAATAATGAAAACGTTCTTCTTGTCTAAACATTTGCGGATCAGAGTACAAAATAATTAAAAAGATCATAACGAAATACAGAGAAAGATACACATTGACTATCGAAAAAAGAGACAATTACATTTTGTATATATAGTGATAAACGATAAAAATGAAAGATTAGTGATAAAAAAACCTGCCCTAACTCGTTACCTGAGTAAGGATCTTATGCTAAGATAGATATCGATGGCACTTTTCTTTTTTTCTTTAGATTTCGTTTGTTATCAGTTGTTTGATCTTTTGTGACTCACCGAGCAGAGAACAATAATAGCATGTAATTGATAACTGAGCCAGTATCGACAGACAGAAACCAATATATCAAAAGGGCCCTCATAAGCCTAATATCCATTTTTTTTCATTTATATTCCAAGTCTAAGAAAATATTAGTATCTGTATGTATATATGATTAATGCTTCCATTTCATTTCATTTTATCAGTATTTCATTCAAAACTAACCTAAACGATGTGTACATGTATGTGTGTCAACCAAACGCTATGATGGGCTCGACCATTTGACTTTTGTTTTAGGGGGAAGAGTGAATGGGAGAGCAGGGAGGGGGGTTTAGTGGTCATGCCAAGGGACGAACTCTCCCGAACAAAAAAGTCGAGGTAGGGTTGTCGTACGTATTCCATATATGGTATTAACTAACAAGCGTATAGAGGCCCCTAACAAGCGAATAGAAGCACCGAGGCGGATTTGTAGTACGTATTCCATATATGGTATTAACTAACAAGCGTATAGAGGCCCCTAACAAGCGAATAGAAGCACCTAACAAGCGAATAGCGGCCCCTAAGGAATCCCAATTTACCGGTGCTATCAGCAATGCAAAATACTTTAAATGTCACAAACAATTCGTTGTTTGCCAGCGTAATCTCTCGTGGTCAAGTTAGTTAAGGCGCTTTACATTTGTAGTCGAAGGGTTAGGTTTAGGGAAAAGGACGGGTCAGGCTATAAAATGTTAAATTCATAATTCTAAGTTAAAATTTGATAAGAAAATTTTTAATAAGTTAAGGCGTAGCTAAAAAGCTCGAATAAGTCGATAAAAAGTTAGTTAGTTAGTTAGGCGGATGACTCCGAGATTTGACAATGGCACTCCAAACGACCCTGTCTTCCATCAACGTAGCCAGCTCGTGTGTGCTGATTGCCCCTGTGTCGCGCTTGAGGGTGTCTACATAATTCGATTGAGGTCTTCCTCTGGACCGCGTTCCGTGAGTTGGTTCCCACAGGATCAATTTTTGGGTGCTTAGTTCAGGSTGGCGGTAGCAGTGTCCTGCCAGACGTAGTCTGCGCTCAGCAATCTTCACATCCAGCCTTGGTAACTCTCCGTACACTTCATCATTAGTAGTGCGGGAGCTCCAGTGCACATTCAGGGCTTTCCTCAGCATACGGGTATGCACCACTGAGTGATTTCACCATAGTCTTCGCCATGGACCAGCTTTCACATCCGTGCAGCAAGATTGACTCGACTGTGGCAACAAAGAATCGTTTTTTCAAAACTGGGTTCATAGTGGACTTCCAGATGTTGCTCATGTCGTCGTTGAGGGCTTTCCAGGCTAGTGCTTTTCTGATATTGACGTCTTTTATCGACTTATCAACCCAGGAGCCAAGATATTTGAAATCGTCTTTTTGCTCCAACACAGTTCCTGATCTGGTTACTAGAGGAGTGTGTACGTCTATATTGTAGGCAATAAAAAACGTAGGCGATAAAAAAACTGTAGAAAAATATACAAGTGAAAAAAAGTATGGACCTCTGTTCGCTTGTTAGGTGCTTCTATTCGCTTGTTAGTTTGTGCCATATATGGAATACGTACTACAAACCCGCCTCAAAAAGTCTCACAAAAAAAAGACAGGAAGCCCATGACTCTTAGTGATGACTGAGGAGGAGGCTTACAAAACTGCCAAGGTTTTCATCTTAATTCCTTTTGTTATTTCACTTTCATGTTTGGTTGTTGCAATTGTTTAAAGTATCTGTCATCCGCGTACTTTTTTGTTTTGGTCGTTGTCAGGTCGTGCTGTTTTCCCGCGACATGGCAACAATATTCTGTCACGCGACACGTAGTTCGCTGAAAGATGGGGGCACAGGAAGCCCAATTTCACTAGGTGAAATATTCAGGTTCGACATTTTTCAAAAAGACGCACCTTTAAATAATGAAATAAACTGCTGCTCTCCATGATAGCCTGCGAGAAGAGGATGTTTTTTATGATGAATACATGCACTTATGTTTTTTCCCTCTTTTTGACAGTAATTTATATCTTTGATATTGAGACAATAACAATTTATCGTGGAAAAATATGGATGATATTTCAACCAAATTCAGATTTTAGTCAAATGAGCTAAAATAAGTAATTTCATTTATTTGTCATTAATCTTTTCATAAAAATTTAGCAAAATACTAGCGCACAAATCATTTCAGTGTGCACACTGTTACGTCATACGGGAAATGACTCAATAAAATTCCATCACACTTGACTGCTTTCAAACAAAAGAGCAACAAGGATTCTGATTGGCTATCAAACTTTGAGCTGAGGCATAATCACGTATTCATAAAACACAGTGCTGTATTCCCTCGGGAGATATAAACTCAAAGTGACGTCCCTTTGGGAGTTGAAATCGACCATTTTGACTGGATCTCATGAAATCCAGGAACAAAGAGTTTACGCTAGGCTATTGGTGATGAAATCCGTGATTTGAACAACCTATAAACATTGCAACCGGCGCGAAAACTGCTTGGTTAGTTGACCAGCAGTTGGCAACGACCAAACGAGGGGACGTATCGAACTCGTGTTGAAGTTCGATCTTTTGGCGCGATTTACAATATTCAGGCATGCAAGAACAGCCGGATAATTCGGGCAAAACAGATAGACCAGGTGTTCCATGGGTTACCCAGGGAGTTTTAAATGATCAGATGGACACGGGGTGAGTAAAAGAGCAACAGAATTTTTACTTGACAAACATTTTGGACAGAGTTTTGAAATGCTCAATAATCAAGTTGATATTTTATCGTTCCAGCACACCGTCCGTGATAGCAAGGTGCCACTTTGAGAAACAACCACCATCTAATTTACGAAAAAGTAACTTTTTCCACTTCGTATTGACGTTTCAAGACCATAACTCACAAGCTATCGAGATTGAAAAGGCTCTGTTTGTAGATTTCATAGAGCTTCGACCCGTAAGTTTCACAATACTATTGTAGTAAACAATTTTTTTGAAATCATGATATACCAACTGTAAAATATTTGATTGAAAAAAAGTATCACACAGCTGAAATAATTGTTGAATTCTAGGAAGACATGAAGATCAGAAACGGAGCTCACTATCGTCTTCACTTCATTTTTGCAGGAGGTTTGTCTTTACTCCTAAAAAAAACTTAGATTGTTTATATATAATATGATCCGTATTAAGTTAACTGCCGTCCCCAATGGGAATATATGTTCAGCTGTACCACCTTGGGACATACTCTAAATCACGCTCGCAGTTCCGCTGCTATGGTCCGTCAAGACCTTGTACAAGACGCTATATTTACCATTGGTGCTCTGGGACTTGCATCTTCAAATAAGAGCATAGGTGTTTATTTGATTAAAATAAACGCGAGAATCAAATCAAAAACAGCGCTGGGATTTAATACTGGGGCGAAATTCCCTTTAATCAAATTTGCTTGGACAGTCGATTGGTTTTTCTCGAGTCCAGGAAGCCATTTCAATGCTAACAACCGCGCGCTACTCACTGGATTCCTTTACAGAAACTTTTGAAAAACTGACTTTATTTTTATTTTTGCCGCAGCTATTCGCGTTGAACAAGATCTGTTTGTCCGTCTAGTTGACTCAACATCAAAACAAGTAAGAAGTGTTGCGATCTAGACTCGAAATATTCTTTTAACACTCGAGTAAAGTAGCCAAACGAATAATTGTATGGTTGTCATCACACTTTCGAAAGTTTTCAATACGTACTCGTTCTCGTCACGATATTTTAGATCTAAGAAAAACTATTACTGCTTACTTATTTAAGTAAAATTAAAAAGATGAGAAAGAAGTAAATGATTTGACATTTATGTTTTGGCAAAATAACTTTTTTCATACTTTGACGCAGTTTTCAAAATATTATGTATGTAAGCAAACTATGACTCAGATTGAAATGAATATATTATTTTGGTTTTCTCTTTTTTTTAATGCTTGGTGGTACATCGATCCTAATTTTTTAACTCAGGAAATAGAGTTTCATAATGGGACACTCCCCGAACGTTAATTGCTTTGCGTAAGCTTATTTTTTTGCTCTAATGCTTTTTCAGATAATTAGTTACGAAGGACAAGACAAAAACCCTGAAATGAGAAGAGTTTTGATGACACATGAAATTATGTGCAGGTAAATGTTGAAAAATAAGCAATTCTTTTTTTTTTGAGAAAGAAAAGCCATAAAAATCATGAAAATATGTGCTTGGAATACTAATACAATCTCTTTGTTTTCAAGTCGTTGTTGTGATAAGAAATCCTGTGGCAACAAGAATGAAACTCCTTCAGATCCTGTAGTTGTTGATAGGTAAGTTAAACTTTTTTTCCAGACAAGTTCCCCTTTATTGGTGATTATAACCAGACAGAGAAAAGACAACTCTCCAAGGAGGCCTTTTTCCCCAAGGAACTCAAATCTCAGGACAAGCACCCTAAAGTTTACTCTTGGCCAACTATGATAATATTCAGAAGTCATTACCAAGTGTTAAAAGTACATAATAGCAGCAGCTATTGTTTGCTTTTGTTGACACTGTGATTATAATCCAACACTGAGGGATTAAGTTGAATGTCAATTAAGAGCTTCTTTGGACCTGATTGGCTATTCGTCACATTAATTGAATTTGTGTAGTGGAAATTATTTGAGCCACTGGCCTAAAAGCTTTTGTGAGTCATAGGGGTCTTTATTTGTGGATCTGCTAGGCTCATGCATGGGTTGTTTTTTATTAATAACTTAATCTCTAATTTAGAAATGTTTAAAATTAATTTTGACGATAAATAAATTTTTTGTCATATTTAATGATTGTAGATATGAGTTTCCCATTGAATCAAGGCATAACAAGCAATTTATTGAATTTTCAATCTCACATTTTCATTAATTAAGCTACTAGTCTATTGTTGGTGACATTTCAAAGCATATGATCTCTCCCTGGGATGCTTTACCACCTATAGCCCTGTTAGCAATACAATGAGTTTGACCAAAAAGTACTGTCCCAAAGTTTATTCTAATTATTCTGAATAAAATGGCTATATATTCAGATTCTGTTGATTAGCATTTTATTAGGGTAATTATTGATTGTAAATTTTTATATTTTTGCAGATATTACCTGAAATTTTTCCTGAAATGTAATCAAAATTGCTTAAAAAATGCTGGCAACCCACGAGATATGCGCCGCTTCCAGGTAAGCCACAGCATTTAATGTTTTATAATCATTGAGTTTTTATTAAATTTATTTTGTTGTGTTCAAATGTGTCAACTGTGAAACTGTTAACAGCTGTAACATGGGCACAAAATTGATTAAAAGTCATGTCATTAGGTGGTGGAGAATTGACAAATCATTTGCCTTCAATCTGAGTGGTGCATGCAATTTGACAAAGGAAGTTCAACTTCATTATTCTTATGAATCTAGAGCACCCCTAAGCTTGTAACTCCTCCTCTACTACTTCCCCTTAATGAGCTGGAAATAAATTTAATCACAACTCTGTACTGGAATATCATGAAAATAATTGCAAAAAGCATTTGAAATGATTTCATTATGACATTGATAGGTGCATATTTCAACATCCGTGGACCATATTGCGGGTGCAATTGCATGTTCAGATAACATGTTTGTTCACAATAACTCAAAACATGGAAGAAGATCAAGAAGACTTGACAGTACTGAAAGCATTACTCTAACAGGTAAATTGACAAACAAATTGTTTGAGTTCACAAGGACTGAGTCTAATCAGTAGTCTTTGGTTGCGAGAGGTCAATTTAAGAAGCCATAGTTCTGATTTTCCAAGTAAGTGCTTTAGTCTCTACTGGGATATCAGAAATATACTCCAAGTGTCTAACCAATTAGAGTGCAGTATTGGCAATGCTTGTTCAGTATACCAAATATGCTGATGTCCATAGTTGGAATGATACCTATTGTTTATTGACCTTATGCATTTGTGTGTTTATTTATTTGATAATTGCACTGCACAATTATTTAGAAAAGATTATAAGTTTCCTACTTTAGAGATATAAGATATAAAACTCTTAAGTAGCGTAGCGAATCGAATGCAGGAATTGCAATAGTCTCTGCTATTCATTGTGAGAATTCAAATTCAATATCTTTTTTTTAGGTACACCTTGCATCAAGGCAATTTGCCCTAATGAAGGATGGACATCAGGAGGGACTAATGTTGTTGTCATTGGACATAATTTCTTTGATGGAATACAAGTAGTGTTTGGGTCTTTGATAGTATGGAGTGAGGTTAGTCGATATCTGCTATCTACACATCACAAATATAAGTTATTTTCTTAGTGTAATGTACTTTTGTTGCATTTCCTAATACTTAATTGCGTGTGTCACCTTTCATATAGCTTTTGTAATTAAAGCATGCATTTTATGACATCTTCTCCCCACCCATACCCTGCAAGGAGCAATTTGCTCTTACCCCATGGATATAGCAGGGAGCCCCGTCCCCACCCACTGGATTTGGTTCTTTGTATTCTTAAATTTAACTTCTCACACTCCCTGCTTTAAGCTTGTGCTTTAAGCCCATATTTATTTATTTTGTTTGTTTTCAGCTTATAACTCCAAATGCTATTCGAGTAGCAGCCCCACCGCGTCCAATACCAGGGGTTGTTGAAGTTACCCTTATGTACCGAAATAAACAATACTGCAAAAGCGCTCCGGGAAAATTCTGCTATACAGGTAAGAATGTACAAAAAGTAATGTTTGCTTAGCTTAACTAAACAGCGTCCCAAAGCAACATGCGATGCTTTAAGTACAGTATAAAGTTGAGCCTAAAAATAATTTGAGGAACTTCTGCTGAGCCTCTGGAGTGAGATTGTTCTCACTTTTTGTCTAATTATGCGAGAATTATATTTTTTTCTTGTGCGTCAAACAGCTCTATTTTAGATTATAAATAGTATACTTTATCACATACCTCTACGAGCGTAATTTCAATACTTTTTGACGTTTGAACATTGAATTGTTTCTGAGAGACTTTCTGAGACTATTTTACTCTCCAAGTCCACTCCGTTTCCACGCGCGCGTCACAACACTTTATTGGCTTTTTCATTTTAGCCAATCCGAGAAAGCTTTGAACATGTGTCTGTCAAAATCCAACCAATCACAACCACATGGCTATTGGGTGGAAATAGCACGTGAAAAGTTTCCAAATAACTGTTTTTCTCTTTTTACTATAGCATTATGTGAGCCGACCATTGATTACGGATTTCAAAGACTTTTAAAACTGATACCTCGACATCCAGGTGATCCAGAAAGAATACCCAAGGTTAGAATACTCACTTTTTATTTTGCTCCCAAAGCCTGCAAAGACTAGCTTTTGCCAAGTATTATGAGCGTCTTCGAAGTCTACAGAATGTCAACAATGTTAATTGACTTAATTTTTTTAATGTAGGAAATTGTTCTAAAAAGAGCAGCAGATCTCGCCGAGGCTATATTCCAAATGCCACGAACGCCAACTCAACTACATTCTTCACAATATCCCGGCACCGGCCTAGCGACTCCCAAATCCCCTGCGCTAGTAGGAGGCCAACACTATGTAACAATGTATCAAGAAACTGGGCCAAATGGTGGGCTATATAGTCCCACTATTACATCAGACAATCAAGGCCCAGTAGTCTATGCAAGTATAGAAAACGCGTCATCCTCATCGCCACAAACTGATGTCAATAACAATGTTGTAAACGCTCCTCCAAGTGACCTGGGACCTAGGATAGTGACAACTGCTGCTAATATCGGCATGGCAAGTATCACTATTGATCCACAACAACATGGGTCTGACCACCACCCCTCTGGACATGGTGTTGCTATGACAACTGTGGCTAACTCTTCTAATGGTTACCATGGAGGGATACCACTTGCGGCTTTGGGTGTTCCCCCTTCTCCTGGATTTTTCAATGGAACTTGTAAGTCTCTTTTATGCACTAGCCAAATGAAACCACCGCCCCCCGATCCCCGGGGAATACCGGGGAATTTAACGTTTGAGAGTGGTGTTAAAATGTGACATTTCCCCCGGTAGTCAGGGCACATTTATTGTTGAAATCCCCGCTACTGTTGCCCCGTTATTTTGGTCTAGTAGTAAAGAACAAAACAAACACCTTCACTCCAAATTTTCTGTGATACACAGGGTGAATTTTTGTATAATCCTGTGTACTCATTTTCGTACTACGTGAGGCTAATAACTGGAAGGAGAAAAACATGTGTAATAAGTTTCTTTAAAAAAGATTCATGCAAGGCAAAATAAACAAAATATTATTATATTTAACAATATTAGCCTGATCTTTTGCCTTCCCATGCTCCCCCTTCGGTCTTAATGTTAGTGATGGAATCTTTATGAATCCGACAATAACGTTCTTTTTTTCGATTAGGTGTATGCACTAACAATGATTCAATCCCTTTTTTAGTCATACCACAATCACCATCATTACCACCCACTCCAAGCAGCGTTCCGTCGAATGGCAATACCGGCGTCTTTGCTTTCCCATCGGGCATGATTCAAACTGTCAAGCAAAAGAGTGCATTTAATCCAGTATCAAGAGCTCAGCTGATTGCAGAAGGAAGCGATAGCGTCCCCAGTAGTCCAACTATTATACAAGGTAAGGAAGTAGTCGTCTCCCTGCAACTGTTAACAGTTATAATGACTTAAGGAGAGGCTAGCATTGGATTTTATCGAACCACGCCCTTGAACGCCGTTTTACATTGTTTTGAATAAAAGTACTGTCTTGTTTGAAGTGGTGACGTTACAAAATGCTGATTTTGAATTTTCCAATTATATAACATCAGCTATATCTTTCAAAAGAATCAATCAATTGTCACCAGTTTTCTTTATATCTATAATTTAAAAAAATATTTTTTACTCCTTGTAGGTGTTGTTTCGTCGCAATTTGGGGGTACATATACAATCCCTGTGTCCGGACAGACTTACGCTACTAACACTCAATCTTCCAAGTCATAAGCCGAATTTATTGAATCATTGCATTGGCCAAGAATGAGTGAATAATCTCGAAGAGAACAGAAGGCTTTCAACAGACAGCACAGCACTTATGGAGTTATCTCTTGTTACCATGCGTTACCATCTAGTTTTACCGTGTTAGCATCGAGTTACCGTGCGTTATCGTCGAGCTAACTCGTGGGCTCTTGTAGATATCGCTCAGTGCTATCCTAACCTACGAAAGGCTTCCAACGCAAGCATATTGGCATCCACGCAATAAAGTTGTCAACGGAAGATTAAGTACACGAAGAATCATGGACATTACGGAGGACTGAACATAAATTAACATATCACAAAAAACGTTTTGATGAATTCTGCAGTATTTGAAGGCAGATATTATTTATATATTAATAGAATGAACAATTTTCTCTGTATTCCAAACACGGCTGTAAACCATGTTCCACAAATGGACGTAAGCTATAAATTGCTTCTGGGAAGTTGTTTTTTGCTCGAAACCCGTAGTTTTTGCTAAGGAATTTAGTAATATATTTAATATAGAACGGAAATCTATGTGCCCATTTAAGAGGCATAATATTTTTGTACTTATAAGTAATATATGAAAAAGGCGGAGTCGAAAGACAGTGCAATGTATTTTTCAAAGTGCATTTATATATTGCATAACTTATATTTCGAATTGGATGTATTTTTTGTTTAAATATCCATACGTGTGAATAATTTTATAAAAGCAGTATTAAAGCTATTAATTATTTTGTTGATAATGGATTTACGTAGTTTTTAAAAACTCCACATTATACATACCTATCTACTGATAAATACATTGGGCTTCCTGTATACTATCGACTGTGGTGGACTGGTACTTAAATTTCTGCTTTGCAAACAAAACTCTCAATGTTCAAGATGTCGAGATGACGATGAGCTATATTTCTTTTATTTTAACACTGTCACTAGTCGTAAATACCGTTGTTTTAATTCATGGTGGTTTCTATAAAGTGTCAGAATGCGATAGTCCTGACTGTCCTGCCTGTGAGCCGGGATATTGGGGACAAAATTGCAAGTTTTGCCGACTGAGGTAAGTCTCCAGCTTCTTCGACCATTACTTACGTCCTCAATCTCAGTAGCATAACCTTAATTGTGTTACTCTAGGCGTCTTTCCGGCATTGTAATTATAAACATTTTGATTTGTAATATCTAATTTGATTATACATCGGTTCATTTGATCTGTTTTAATAATTTTGCTATGAAATTTAGCTATTTCTTTCTATTAAACGTGAACAGCATTCGGTCGTGTCTTGTACGTAGAATACAAGACAGGAAATATCTCTCGCTATTTCCGTTTCTTGTAGACCATGATATCTCATCTTTATATTAAATTCTCTTGATTTTAGTGCTACATATACCGAGAAATATTATTGTATTGGCATTTTATTTTACTATTTCAAACGTTTGAACTGCACTCTGATATCGTTTGAATGTTAAAAGCTTATCTCCAAACTCTACTGTTGATAAGTCAATATATATTTCTGAAAACGTTTACTGAATCTCTTGATTTTGACACCAAATACATATCATCTAAGAGCTCAACATTTCTTTCATATTTATGTTTTTGGTGGGGCTGCCAATATAATTGTTGCTTTAATAAACGCATTTTCATACTCTAAGCTATTACCGTTTTATGCAATTAAACTTTTACAAGTTCACTTCGTTATTAGAACTGTGCACCACAAAAATCTCTGGGAATCCATTCCTCGAACAGTAGGAGCACTCACTAATAATGCTAAACTCTTATTGTTTGTCTTAGTTTTGGAATAACACAGCTGGAGGTCAATATTAAAGTATTTTTAAAAGATATTTTGTAAAATTATTTCCAAAGCCTAATGTCACTTGATGAATTCAAAATGTTTATCATCTGACTGATCAATAAATGACGAGGCAGATGTGGAAAAAGCACTTTTCTTTCAATTTTAAACTTTTTGTGGGAAAGTAAAGATTAAAAGATTAAACTCTAAGCAACAGGGAGCATGTACTGTGTTTAAATATTGTATCAATCAAAACTATGAGCAAAATTCATTGTAATGTATAGTGTGATACTGCATAGTATATTCTAAGATCAAAATGCATTAACGGTAGCCTGTGTTACATCCAATTTATTTATTTGCAAAAAATAATGATGTAACGCAGGCTATAGTAACAGCAAGGGCAATGCATTCCATATTGAAGAAGAATAGCAACTGTTTAACAGACCACTCTTCAACTGCAGGATACTTATTTGCCATGAAACGTTTGACATTCAGCCACCCCATTCAGTTTATATGATTAAAATCATGTAACTTGTGGAGAAATCTTGTGAAAGTGCCTCAAAATAAGGAAAATTGGGTTCCTTGAATTTCCTCACTGTTGGCTACTCACCGCAAAACCAAGCTCTATATCAGTGAAAAATGAACTTTTAAAGCTGTTTATCTCAGCATAGAGCTTGGGCTTCCTGTATCTTTTGACAATACTGGTGGTGCCATCCCTCAAGAGCAAGTAGTCTATATTGATCATTCTTGCTTTACAGCAATCAACACTGTTATTTTCAACAGCATATCCCTATCATCATTGTAATCATGATCATTTTGAATCATCTAAGCCTTCTTGACCCCACCAATGAAGAATTGTTATACCATGGTGTATTCATGTATACTTGAGTTTATACAAATTATAGAATAAATTGAAAAAAAGGCACACAAATTGCAACTTGGTTTTCTACTCTTTATTATTCAAAGAAAACACCTTGGAATCCTTTGGATCCTTATAGCTAGATGTGGTAGTTGGCCAAGTTTATACATGTTTATTTTTTATACAAGGAATTTATATTCGACTTGATTCAAATCTTTCTTTATATCACCTTGATTTCAGGCTTACCAGTGATAAAGGAATTATCACTGATGGTGACAAGAATTATGAACAATCATCAAAATGTACATGGCTTATAGAAACATCTAGGTAGTGCACATGTATATGAATTTTATAACCTTAATAGTAATATTATTTTTATGATATTGTATTCAAACTATGACTAACTTTATCTATTCTGATCTAGGTCCAATAGTAGCATAGAGCTAGTTTTTGATCAGTTTGCTACAGAATGTGCTTGGGATCATTTGTATGTTTATGCTGGTAATTCAATACATGCTCCATTATTGGGAACTTTAAGGTTTGTACAACAGTGTATCTACTGTATTGAACTTTTGATATTTTCAAGGACACCTACATGTATTTAGCTCTGAAGGCTGATGAAGTGAGATATTCTGTATTTGGAAATTAGGAATGCTGACAGTCATTCAGCATAGAGAAAACATATTGGTCACTCTGAAAACACCATTTACTTAATGCTTTTGTAAAAGCAATGTAAGGGAGGGGGCTCGCTCTATTTTCTATTTGTGATTGTTGTTTTTTATTCCTTTATGGGAGGTGGGGAGGAATTTGTGTGAATTTTCATTAAAAAAAAGAATGTCAATGACGGTATCAGTGTTAACCAAATGCTATTTTATTCCCTGGTGAAAATCCTGTCCAGGATCTGTATAAAATCCTAACAGGATCCTAATTAGGATGCTACATAAAACCATGTAAACTTAGGACTGGATCTTGTACAGGATCCTAATCCTGGGTTCACTGATTTTCAAAAACACTAAAATGAGACTCTAACTTGACATTGAACGTGGGTATTGTACACTCTAAGACACTTTCATTTACACTAATCCTTATTGCAATCCTATTTTGATTGTTGGTGGTATATTCTTTTGTTTCAACAGTGGTCTTCTAAGAGATACAAATATCAAGGCCGTTGCAAAGGATCCCATCAGACACTTGACTATCAAGTCAAACCAAGCATTTTTGTATTTCTTTAGCGATGCTAATTATATTTTAACTGGTTTTAACATTAAATACAGGTAATGTTATAATGACAATGACATTCAATTTTGATATGGAGTGTTTATAACAATTATTAAACCTCAAGGTTCCTTGCTAGAAATGTCTCTCATTCTTGTTCCCATGAGTAACAATAGATATCTTGCTAGCAGGGAAAACTCAAGGTTGAGTAGACTTCAAGTTGATATTCTGTGAGGCCATTCTTGACCAAATGGGCTACTGGTATAAGCTTGTAAGTCACTTGACTGAGTGGTCTAGTTGTTTTAGTATCCAGCAAAGTCATACATGTCAAATTTGACCAAATATTATAATGAACTTTATTTAATTTATTCTTTGCCTTTTTTTTGACAATTTTTGTTTCATTTGATACAATCATTGTCTACCGTGACCATGTACATGTAGTAACATCAGCCAATCGGAATACTGGATTTGTGATAGCCCATAGCTCAGTGGATACAAATAATGTTATCAGCCCAAACTGGTTGACTTTGGTAACCATGTTAAGACTCCAGTATAACAAAAGGTTCTTGAGATCTTTTGTGTATGACCATTCAACCATAATATCAAATGAGTGTTATTTGATTATCAAATAATAAAAAAACTGTTGAATATTAAAAAAAAGCATTTCTTACAGGGTTAAAAGTGATTGTAGTATAAAGTGTAACAATCACGGCCAATGTGGTGACCAAGGGAACTGTATCTGTGATGAAGGCTGGGCTGGCTCCAGCTGTAATATCTCAACTTGTCCTGTAAGCTGTGTTAGTGGGACATGTGACACTGTGACAAGGCAATGTCAAGGCTGCAATAGCGGCTACACAGGTTGGTAGAAAAATGACGTTGGTAGTTATTATCAAATCCACAGTGTAGTTGTAGTTGTTGTTTTATCTCGTTTGATCATAACAGTGTAGTTCAATTAAGTCTCTCATTCAAATTTCAATTTTCTGTCATCCTTTCTTTCAGTTAGTCTATCATTAATTTATTCAGACTCATTGAGTGTTCTTTCCAGTCATGTGTTCATCCATCCATTTGCATCACTATTCATTTTAGTTTTTTTGTTTGTTTGTTTGTTTTCCAAATGGGAAGTCTCAATACAGGAAGCACAATTTTGTTGAGCAATTTGTCTTTTCTAGTTTTAGCTGGTACCTCCCAGTCACTCATTTTTAGTAAAATACTGTGAAGGCTTTAGATTGCCTAAATAGAGTACAAACACTAATACTGTGCAACATATTTAAATACCCCTAAACACTGCTAAATTATACTAATTCTATTGTTTTCTATTGTTTAATTAACACTATTTTGTAGTAAATAGTGGAAAGTGTTGCACACATTTAATGTTTGTACTCTAGTCCTTTTCAGTATTTGTCACTTTCCTACTTTAGGACCTTCCTGTAATGTCACACTTGGACAAGGATTTTGGGCACACATTCCAGCTAACAATCAAGGTAAGGTATAATAGTAAAATAACAATTATAGGAATGGTGAAGTAGACTGCCACAAGCAGTGCATTGTACAGTAATTGTGGTATTTTTTAACTAATACTTTTTTTTAATTTGCAGAAAATATCATTGGGCGTGCGTCCCATGGTGCTGGTTTGATTGATGAGTGGTTATGGGTCTATGGTGGTTATTCACTTAATACTGCACCATTTGATGATCTTATAAGGTACTCAAATCTAACTTTATAATTATGCAATTATTTTGTACATTGCACGGCAAGGATCTACTGTTTTGAAAGCAATATTATATATTATAAAATAAAAAAATCGTGGGGAGCCAGATAGTAATAGTGCTTTGAGATATATAAAGCTGAATGAATAATTGAGCAAACTTAGAGCAAACTTTGGACTTAATCAAGGAACAGGGTATCAGAGAGGAAGAATAAAAAAGTAAATCAAAAATTATTATGAAAATTTTGTTTTCAAATTATGTAGAAACAGGCATGTCGGAATTATGTGCGGATGCGGACGCGCATAATTGCCCCCTTTCCGCATAATTTACCAAATCGTGCATAATCGCGCATAATTCATGATTTTTTTCCATGTTATACCATTTTTTAAGATGAATTGCCTTCTACTAATGTTTTTTTGATCAAAAAACACTCCCAAACATGCTTATAAGGCCTTATAAGGGCTTCACAAATGTACCAGGCGTTCAAAATTTCTTCAAAAACTCATTAATTATTCATGAGGTATTCAGCCAATCCCTGTTTGTAATTTGTACCACGTGAAGTAACTTGAAACCAGAGGAAGTACTCGTACCTTGTATTCTACCTTATTTCCAGTTACTTCTACCTTTTTCAAGTTACTTCTACATTATTTCCAGTTACTTCTACCTTATTTCCAGTTACTTCTACCATGTTTCCAACTACTACTAGCTAATGATAATCAAATTATTAGAAATAATCAGTTTAACATTAATTTAGTGAAAAAAGGTCTTTGATACATGACTCCCTCACGACTCGATCCCCTACCATCCAGTCTATATGCGCCGTCTTATACCATTACGCCACCGAGTTTCTGATGCGATTCCTCGGAAGATAACATACTTATAAATCTTATGGATTAGACTCATTAGGAATGCCATGAATAGCAGACAAAGACAATTTGAATAGCTTTTGTTTCAGAAAGCCATCCGGGAATTGAAGAGCAACAAACGGTGCTTCATGCATTCAAAATTATGAAAACTGAAAACCTTAGTGGAGATGCAATAAATCAATATATTTCTGTTATATGTATTTCCTTCGCTTTTTTTCCCTCCCGAATAATTAATGAGTTTTTGAAGTCGTTCAAAGGCCTCCAATTCGGACTTGACGGGATTTCAAAGTCCTTGCAATTAGTTCCAGTCCGAGGCTAGCGCCTCGGACTGGAACTAATTGCGCGGACTTTGAAACCCCGTCAAGTCCTCATTGTTGGCCTTTAAACATTACATCAGAAAAGAGTCTGGGCACTAGCATTACTGGTCACCCTGTGCCTTACCAGATCACGTGACAAATTCGTATGATACAAGTGGGACGTAAAGTGTGCAAGAACGAAAAAGTCTAAAAAGATCTTTCCTTCGGTTGGTACTGCCTTCTATACTTCGTAACTAAGATAAAAACGGAGTTTTGCATGAAAAACAAACACAATAACTGAAAAATTTGTAAAATTTCCCAAAGTTTACATTCCTGTGATGATGTCATCCCGCATAATTTTCCGCATAATTCACCCTTTTCTCCGCATAATATGGGGAAAAATTTCCGCATAATTTTGATTTTTTTCTCGCATAATTCCGACATGCCTGTAGAAAAGACATTCAAAATATTCATAATCAAATCATGATAGTTTCAATGTAAATGAATTTGTGTTAGTAATTTCCAAGACACTTGTAGGGTACATTGTATATCAGCTGCAGATGAAGTAAATCAGATATGACAACATTGAATGCTGGTTAACCATAGTCTATGGAATCATATCATATATTATATATTATGAATAAGACCTTTTGACTAATGAATCTTTTAATACTTTTAGATACCATTTACCATCTAATGCTTGGGAAGTAGTGGAACCACTATCAGTTCCTGTTCCTTCAAGGAGATATGGACACTCCTTGATTGTTTACAACGTGAGTACAGTTTGTAAATTAATCCATGTTATTGTGAATGAAAATTTGCTGTATGGTATTATGAAAATTCCAGAAAAATAAAACTGACTGTTATTATTTTCCCCAGGGATCCCTTATCATATATGGGGGTACCATCAATGGCAAAGTGATCAATCAGCTATGGTCTTTTGATACCATTTCCAGGCAGTGGACATTGCTTTTACCAGATAGGGGCAGTGATGATCCAATAGCTGTGTCAGGACACACTGCAACACTGGTTGATAATAAGATGTTTGTTATCTTTGGTTATGGTCCACAAGAGGGCTACACACAAAAAGTACAGGAATTTGACCTTGGTAAGCTTTATTCTCCATCACAATATACATGTAACAAGTACTGTAGCTATTCTGATCCATCAGTATTCATCCAGAACATCTTCTCAGTAGACACTCCCTTATCCTGTCAATCACCCAATACCAGTTTCATCAAAAGCTTTCTGAGACAACCTACTTGTCTTCTGTTAAACCCAATGATTGATGCTCAGTCTGTAAACTGTATGACAGAATTATCACCCCATGTAAGAAAATCCAGAATCTGGTAAAAAAACAGTGTTGGAATCTGGAACCTGTATCCTGGCATGGATGATGCAATCCATAATGCCAAAGGGACTATATCCAGATTGAATCTACTTTTTTTCAAACAGTTTCAAGACAGTGGAAGTTCCACAGTGTCAATGCTTTAATAGTCCTGGCTACATTTGGGCACAGCAGCTCATATGACCCTACTACTGGCAGGATTTATGTGTTTGGGGGATACAGGAAAATAACCAAACAAGAGATTTCCAATGAACTTAGTTTCTACCTACCTTCACAAAACAAATGGTAAGAGGGATGCTGTGAAAACACTAGCTTGCATGCAGATAGTTTGTTTATATGACAGTGTTGTTGCAAGTAATATATTGAATTCATGCAGACTATGAAAACACATTCTGGTACAATGACTAGGCAATGTGCAACAATGCCATTGTGCAGCAAAAGATCTTGGGAGTTATAGTCCCCAATGTACCATGATTTGATATTACAGAAAAATGCCTACGCAGTATGGATGATTGTTGCCATGGTTACTACCAAATGACCGATCCCCAATCAAAATATATATCAAGGATATTACAGTGGTGCGGCTATATATAAGGATTTCATCTTCTAGTATCCAAAAGATCTCTCACGAGTGAGTGTAGTGAATGAGTGATCGAGATATTTTCAACACCAGAAGATAAAATTAATTGTATCTACGAGTGACCATGTAATATTCTGTTCATCATATAAATTGCCTATGAATGCACGTCAAAATTAAAAACCTTTATATACTTCCAGTTTAAGAAATATAAACACTGTCGTCAGCCAATCAGAGTGTGCATTATATATCAAAAATTGTATAAAAAAGTATTATATAATAGAGAAACCTCAAATGTGAATATTTTTACCTGCAAAAAAAACTTAATTTTTAAAGAGAGAAATATAGGTATTTCATAGATACATGTAATTATACGATAAGAGTATTTTATCTATAGATAACTATATGATATTACTTTTATTTTAGCAAGATGTACATGAACTGTATCTAATCTTTGATTTTAGGGGGGTACTACTAAGTAGTGGATATCGTCGGTTCCTTCATTCATCTGTAATGATGGGTGATATGTTGATAGTCTTTGGTGGCAATGCTCACAATGATACTGCCAATAAATCAGAGAAAAAAGCCAAGTGTTTTACCATCGATACTTTTATGTACAATACACGTAAGTATGAGACCAGTGCAATGGATATTAAACACTTTAAAGCTAATAACAGTAAATTAAGATACCCTCACATCTTTGTATGTGCCACCATAATTAAAAAAAAAAATAAGTAAAAAGCTAGATAAAAAAATGTTATATAGCCAATAGACCTAATCGGCTAACACGCTGTTTCATTGTTGTATTTTTTATTTCACAGTTGAATTACTAGCCACAAAATGTTTTTACGCAGGATTTGAATTGGGTGGCAACGTTTTAGCCAATTAGGTCTATTGTACTATAGTTTCATTGTTTTAGTGTTTGTACTGGCCTTCACAATGTCATCATTGGACAGCCTTTCTTGGATTAGAGCTACACATTATATTATTTAGTTAATTTTATTTTAGTTTTAATTTGATTTTATTTCTAATCTAGGGTGTAATGTCTGGAGCAAGATATCAACTGAACCCTTAACAAGTTTAAATGGTAGATATGGGCATACTGCTGTACAGGCCAATGGGTAAATTTGTGATGATTTACATTGTATACAGTTTCAATAAAAGTCAATGGACGGTTTAAATATACTTCTAAATAAAAGGTTTATCTTAATTAAAGTGCTGCCACGAAGGAAAAAAGTAGTTACATGTACATATGTAAATAGTTTTGAGTGGCTTCTGTAGCTCATTTAGTATTTGCACGTTTACTGCGTTTACAATGTACTACATACATTGCATGTTTTACACTGTATTTTTACACTGTATTGTTTGTTTCTTTTATGATGTGTTTAGACATCTATCTATTAATAATATTTAGACTGCGTGGAACTGAATCAAACTACTGTTTAGTTCGGCTGCATGCATGCATATAAGATTAATCTGTATTACTTTTCTATTCAGAACCATGTATATTTTTGGAGGTTTTCAAGGCACAATGTTGAACGACATGTTGACATATACTCCAGGTAGACTTAACTACTACATGTATACTAACTTAAATACTGTCTGATGAGTGCGTAGCACGAAACTCGGAGTWACAGCAAAATCTTGCCTCTTTGATATCATATATATGTATACTAACTTATAATTGTTCTTTTTGATTGCCAACATCTTAGCTTACATATATTTTTTGTAGACAAAGCTAATAAGTTGCCTTGATTGTCCCTTGTGCCCATTCTATGCTTTACGTTTTGAACTTGATATTATCAAGAAAAAATAGTGAAAATTAATTTAAATTGGTCATCGAATTGACCAAGCAAGAGCCTACGGTGACAGAGCTTATGAGAAACGCAAATATCTCTTGGTCTTATATTTATAATATTTCTTGATCTACATGTACTATAATTGTGGCTTACAAGATGCTATTCATAATATTATAATATCTGATTCAATGGGATCAAAACCGTTTAATTATTATTTAGCATTATTAATAATATTCTATTCTTTTATGCCGTATTTTGTATTTGATTTTAGGAGACTGTTCAGCATATACCAACAAGACCTCTTGTTTCCAGGCATCGTCAAGTTATGGATGTGCAAGAGATGTCAAGAAAGATAGTTGTATTGGTCCTCTTGATATTCCATCTCATAACCCAGCCACCATAGAAAGAGTCAATTGCCCAGCTAGCTCAAATAGATGTTCTACCTTTGATAATTGCGATCGTTGTCTGACAAGTGTGTTTAATTGTAAATGGTGCCGTAATGTTTGCAAAGAATCCAGCAATCACTGTGACGATAAGGTATACACTCAACCTCGTTCCCAGGGCCTTATCCCTTCGCTTGGGGTGGAAAAGGCCCTTGGAACGAGGTTGGTATACAATAAGATTTGTATAAAGTAATAGCATGCTATCTCTTTTCCCTTTTTTTCTATTTCCATCTTTCTTCATTTCCATTTTTTTCAACACTTCACTGTGGTGATGTATGATTTATGATGTTACTTTATATTTCCCTTTATATATGTACAGTCAAGCCTCCTTAAGCGGTCCTTTATTTAGCGATCACCCTCCATTAATCGGACACTCATAAAGTCATCAAAAGTCAATTACTCTAAACGTAACCTCTATTAAACGATCAACCTCTATTACGCGGTCAACCTCTATTAAGCGGTCCTCTATTTAGCTGTCACCCTCCATTAATCGATCACGCATGAAGTCATCAAGAGTCAATTACTCTAAACGTAACCTCTATTAAACGATCAACCTCTATTACGCGGTCAACCTCTATTAAGCGGTCCTCTATTTAGCTGTCACCCTCTATTAATCGGTCACTCATGAATTCACCAAAATTTGATTCCCACATATTTTACTAAGCGCAAGATCTATTGAACGGTCAACCTCTATTAAATGGTCCCCTGATTGTTCCCCAAGGTAGCTACGATACATCTCGATATTCTATTGCACATAAAACGTTATGAGGGACCAACATGTGTGACACTGCATTAGCAAGCTTTTGTTTTTTAGAGTGTAGTGTACCATTATATCCCAACTCTTTTATTGGAAACATCCAACCACTTCAACAAACCAATCTTCTTTAATGTGAATAGTTCCATTACCTATAACTATTATGTCTTGATTCCATGTTTTTTTTCTTTCTAATTACAGCTTGTTGTAAGCGATCTCAAGAAGTGTCCAACTATTCCACCTGGCAGCTGTTCAAGTAAGTTGATACAGTCATGTAAAGTGTAGTTCAAAATCTTCGTGCTGTCCTTTAAAATTTTCGGATTAAGTTTGCCAAAATTTTCTAAGTTCTTCATCGCATAATTGGAACATGAAGGCCTTCTATGTGTACATCAGCGCCTCCTCAGTCAGCCGGTTCTAATAAATAAAATTAAGTGAATTCATAGAGAATTCATAGAATGCACAGAGAGCCATAAGTGACACAGTTGCAGCAGATTATATGGACTCTAAACATACTGACTTCAATAGACCTTTGAAGCTTTTGCGTCGTATACTGTATTCGCAATGCATTGTAGGATATGTTTGAGACAAAACATGGCGGATTTCTTTTATTTTCTCTCGAAACTGATCCCACAATGCATTGCAAATCAAGTAGGTGACGTAAAAGCTTTGAAAGTCGTTCCATGTCTAAAGTTCGTTTCTTTTTTTAGTATCAGGTTGTGCTTCACATACCCAGTGCAGTAACTACTCGAGCTGTGAAGGATGTGTCGGTAACAAAGACTGTATTTGGTGTGAATCACAGAAACAGTGTGTTGGTCTTCATGCCTATATACTGTCATTTCCTTATGGACAATGTCATGAGTGGACCAAAGATAAATGCACAGGTACACAATATATCAAGGTCGGTTCTCACTGGTGATTTTTGCTGTCGTTTTGAACCTAATGAATAATGCCGCTATAGAACTACATTTTAGTTATAAAGTTAGTTCAGGGACACTGAGATCACCCAATCAAACGTCTCTTCATTCTTTTATTACAATAATTGCTCCGTAGCAAGCTAATCTTTTTACAAGGATAAGATAATTTTTCTTTACAATGTTATTTTTTGGCGTATGCAACTCTAGATGTACGCTGTGAAGACAGAATGACATGCAATGATTGCCACACCCTACCAGGGTGTGGTTGGTGTGACGATGGATCTGGTACAGGGCTTGGTAAATGTACAGGGGGTGGTGATGATGGGCCATTTATTCCAGCAAGTAATTCTAGCGTTATTACTTCTGATAAATGCTTGCCAAAGGATGGCAAAAAGAGATGGTTTTTCATTGAATGCCCAGGTAAGTTGAATTCATTTAGATATACGAACTTTGAAACAGTCGCTCAAAATGTTTTCATAAACGCCATCTGGAAATATTGTTATACCCTACATTGCATACGATAAATTTAATGCCCTGAAACCTTCAAAGTTCGAATATCTAATGAAGCCTTCTTTGACGTCATTCCATTAACATATTGTAAGATTGAACCTTCAAAACTTAAAGACGCAACACTGAAATGCAGGAATATTTCACCATTCAGCTCACAGAGAATCAGAAATTATTGTGCCAGGCGTCATAGGCACTTTAATTTTCGCGGGCATTAATTAATTGAAATGAGATCTAACGAAATCGGAATTGGCATATTTCACAAACATTAAAAATCAAAATAGTATGCATTGAGTGTGAGGGCATCGGTTAAAGCGTAAAACTTTTTCGCAACTTTTTGCAAAACTATTCGCGAAAATTAAAACGAATGAGGTTACGTTTACAATATTTTCTTTCACTCGTTCCTCGATCAAAGAAAAAATTAAGTAAAGTCTTTTCCCTGGAATCAAGGAACGAGTTTATCTCCGGGTTACCAAGAAAAAGATTATAATTAAACCGCATACAACTTTTGCAATTAAATAACCCTGATTATTTGTACAGTGTGTCAGTGCAATGGTCATAGTACATGTGATGAGTATGACAAATGCATAGCCTGCAAAGACAACACTAACGGTAAGTTCAATGTGAATAATTCCAACACCTCTCTCCGTCTGTCTGTACTTCATTCTTACATAATAGAGAGCTTAAGCATGAAGTTCGAGCCCAACTGCAAACGGCAGAAAAGATCACGTGACCTGCTTTTGGGGGTTTCACCGTTACGGTTTCAACGCGAGAGTGGGTAATTTTGAGTTTGCTCTAATCATAAAAAGTCGCTCTTTCCGATGACTACCCAAAGCACAAGGTCAGGCACGAAATTCTTAGGTCATTGGTTCAGCTCTGCCGTTAGCCGTTTGCCGTAAACGTTGTGCTTATAAACTCTCTAATTTCACCTTACCAACGGAAAGAAGACTTCCGAAGTTCGAACCATCTCTATATCTGTCTGTCCATCCATACATGTACATACATTTCAGTATTGATAGGAACACTGAACGTAAGGATCAAAAGAAGTCCACAGTTCATTGTGGATTGCAGACCTTCATAGTAAATACAAATAATTTATTTTGTTTTTCAACTTTTTTTCATTCTTCCATTATTTTTGATGATATTAATTGTAGTTTAAGTAAGTTTTTTTATTAATTCTTTCATTTTTATCGTTTAATTCCAAATATTATTATTTGTTACCAGGATCCCACTGCCAAACCTGTGCTAAAGGTTACCACGGAAACCCTAAAAATGGTGGAAAATGCGAAAGTAAGTATGCCTAGAACAATTAACAAGAAGCTCATCTTCACTCAGAGTTTAGCACTAAGGCATGTTCAACCCGCAGCTTTGAATATTTATTTTTCGTAAAATATTTACCCCTTTATGTTCTTTAACGTTTTGTAGCTTTTCAAATGCAGATTTTGCGGGGATTAGAAGGTCTTAGGGATTTGTCATTAGAAGATTGGGACTGGGAGGGGGGGGGAGGAATTGTAAGAAAACAAAGATCGTGTAACTAATTTGAAAAATATAGCCATTGATTATAAGGAAGAAAGCAATATTAAACATTGCCCCCCTCCCCAGCCCACCAACACCACCCTTCCTTAAAAACTCTTGCTTAAATTATATTTATTTGACAGCTTGCCAGTGCAATGAGCACGGTAATGTATGCAACTCTGAATCGGGTGTCTGTGATTGCCAAACCAAAGGAGTAACAGGAGCCAACTGCGAATTGTAAGTTGGGACGTATTCATCAAATTATCAATTTTTCATTCATTCGTTAACACCGCAAAAAAGTAGGTGAAACAACTTGCTGACGTTTCGGACGTATTATTTACGACAAAGGATTAACGTCTGAAAGTTTCACCTCCTTTTTTACGGTGTTAAATGTATCTTATTTCTTAACTGTTTCTTTTAATTAGTAACACCGACACAGCTTACACCGTTGCTGTTTAGATTGATTTCTTTTTGGTATTCATTCATCCGTTCTATTCGTTCGTTCGTTAGTTCGTCGGTCGGTCGGTCGGTCGGTCGGTNCGTCTGTCCATCCATCCATTGGTTTAACAGTTTTTGCTTTCAATATATGTAGATGTGATGATCGCAAGTATTACTATGGAAACAGCACCAATGGTGGTTTCTGCTATTGTAAGTATACTAGAAAAAAATTCATGAAAAATAGCATTACAAAACAAAATCTTTTGTGCACTGTGAATACAGTGGATTAAGAACGCCCAGGCCTGATTTTAGGAAATAAAGTGCCATTTATATAAGAACACATTCAGCCTGAAAGATGAAAGTTGTTCTTATATGGAAAAATATCAAAAATCAACGCTACTTTTCATTGCACACATAATAGTTCCACCCAATTATATACAGCCTTTTGCAAAAATTATGAGAATTGTTGAAATATCTAAATATCATAATATCAAGTGCATGATGGGTAATCCCACGCGATGCCCTTATTCCCTTGTCTTTGTAGTTTAGTTTTCTTCTTGGCGACAGACTTATCCGTAGTTCTGAACATTTTCTCGATGTCAACAATGAATTATTCTAGCAAACCCTCGTGTTCCGGACAATATATGGATATGGATATTATGATATTTAGATATTTAGACAATTCTCATAATTTTTGCAAAAGGCTGTACAACAAAATATTAAACAAAATAAAAATATGTACTGTTGTATTGATTTTATCTATTGGTAGCCTAGTATGTTCCTTATTTTTAGAGACTTTTTTAAAGAACACTTACAGGCTGATTTCACAGATTATAACCTTTTATATATTTAAGAACCAAATCATCCTGAACCACCAAAATAGGTTTTCTTATACGCGGGTTTTTACTGTATTCGTTCTGATTAAAAGAATATTTCACAGTGAAAATGATTAATTGTCTGTCCTTAGCATTATTCTTATCCTTAATGACATTCTTCTTATTTTAATTCTTGTTTAATTTTCTTTCTCATTCTCATTCTCCTTGTCATTTTTAATCTTGGTGTTTATTTTCAGACAACCTGACAAGTGGTTACATGTTCACGTTCAATGTTACCGGTTATACAGGTGTTAGCTTCTTCAATATTCCTAAAAGAGTAAGTAATTACTTGCCATAATCAGGAGCGGGTCCAGATCCGGGGGGGGGGGGAGGTGGAATCTTCTGATCCAGATATATTTTAAAAAAACTAACAATATTTTTCCGAGCGTGAACTTTTCATGATCGAGATTCCCAAAATTGTAAGGCAATAAAAGATTATGTGCGCGTTTATTTTGATTTTTTTTTTTTATCATCGCCTCTGAAGAAGTTAGAAAGAGGAAAATTCTTTTGACTATACAATAAGAAATCTAAAGCACTGGATTCAAGTGAGGAAAAAAAGGGGGGAATGCTCACTTTTCCCCTCCCATGAATCCCCCCCTGATAATGTCCAAAAAATGACACTTGACGTTAAATTCTTTTTCAGGACGATCGCAACGTTCAGTTTTCGGTGAAAGTCATTGGTGATGGAGCTATGATGAACATGACTTACAAATATAGTGAGTTTTGCCAACAACCCATTATAACCTGCTGTTATATGCAACGGAACATTCAGAACTTATTAGCGTATTCTTGATACCACATTTGGTAGTAAACAGATCAATTCCAATTTACAAGCCACTGAATTTTAATTTCCTTTTTTTTCTTTTTTTTTCATATACATCTACTTGCATAAACGTTGTCATATAGAGAAATAGAATATTTGTACTTTAGTAAAATGGATAAAAAGACAAAAGAAGGCGCTCAGCCTAAGGGGCGTTACAGATTTGAAAAAAAAACTTCATGAAAGGCAAAATTTTGAAAAATCTCCACGAAAGCTTTTGTAAATTTACACAAAAAATATTACAAGCACGCGTCTGAAGTCCTAAAAAATGGTCAGCCCCTAAATGATCTTCTTTGTTTTCTAACAAATTCCTTTTACTAAATTGCAAATGTTCTATTTCGCTATGACAATGTTTTTCATTTTTCATTGAGAATTGTAGTATTGCGTGACATAGTTTCACTTTCTTTGCAGAATCTGGTCCTGAACTAGCTCTATTCAATGAAAAGTATCTCGGTAATGGCGTGAAATATGAAAACTCGTTCAAACATGATGATTTTTCGTTTGCGACGTCCGATCGTTTGACTTTCTTTGTATATGTGTATAATGTCAATGGTAATTGCATGATTGAAGTAAGTAGTCTGGTTATAAATCTATAATAATAGTAATAGACCTAATTGACTCACGCGCTGCCATGTTCTTTTCCACCCAATTCAAATCCTGTGGGAAAAGAACTTTTGTTGCTAAGAATTCAACTGTGAAATAAAAATACTTGCTCCCTTAGGTGTGAATTGGGTGGAAACTTTTATAGCAACGTGTTATCCGATTAAGTCTATTGTTAAAGCAGAGATTTTGTATATGGATTTTTTTATCACGATACAAATATGTCCCCAATTATATTCACATGTAGCGTCTACAAGTAGTATGCGACCGCCCACTTATATCCAGTACGTGAACCCGGATTCTAATTAGAGACAGCCTTACATATGACGCGTGAGCAGCTTATCGTGGGGTCAAAACAAACGACTTTTGCTGCTTTTGGGGACTAGTTTTTTGTCTCCCGGTGGAGCTGTATAATATTCCTATGAGCTGCAAAATGATTTTTATAACGAGATTAAAAAAAAAAAGAATCGCTTTTCATCTTTTTCAGATTTCCTTCTCACAAATATCACCGTTTAAACTTCTGCAATTCTTTTTAACCTTTTTTGGGTATGTATGATTAATGTATTTCCTATATGATTTTTAAGATTAAAATCTGAACGCAGAATGCAAAAAGGTTCAAGGGTATTATAATGATCATTATTTATTGATGAGTAAATAATATACTCACAGCTTTTTCTACAGTAATGGTTTGACAGTTTCTTAATTTTTGTACAAAGGTGTTTCTTCTCTATCCTGGTCGTAACCTTCATTGCTTGGAAGATCCGAATTCGATATAATCTTCATGTTATGAGAAGAGTAAGTGTGCCATTACATGAATGAATCTTACGCAATCACGTTTGCCGTTCGAAGGGAATGACAGCTGCTTTTTTTGACAATAGACAATATGTTGTGATTACAATAGCCCAAAATCTCCGGTTTTAGGCTCAGCCTGTTTTAACAGATTAATTATTGATTGATCGATTGGTTATTGATGGATTATTGATGGATTGATTAATTATTGATTGGTTGATTGATTGTTCGATCGATCGATCGATCGATTGATTAGCTGACTAATTGATCGATGGATTGTTTGATTATTGATTGATCGATTGATTATTGATAGATTGATTGTTTTTTAATGAATTTATTAATTGGCTGACTGACTGATTGATTGATGGAATGATTGATTCATTGATTGGTTGATTGATGGATTGATTGGTCAATGATAGTGATTCATGATGATAATATATACGTTTTTATTATATTTTTTACAGCAACGAATTGTAGAAATGCACAAAATGGCTAAACGACCGTCGTCAACGTTAAAGCTAAGCTTTGAAAAACATAACGATACCTACATAACCAAGGTACGCCTTTACACTATATGAGAGACCTGTGGATAGCCAGCGATTTCCAGACTCTCTCAGAATCAGCCCTTTTGTACATCAAGCAAGATGGGAAATTTCATCCTCGCAGTTTTATTATGCTAAGATAATTACCAGATCCGTTTGTGATCACAAATTCTGTAGTTTGAAGCCCCACAGCCAGTCAGAAATCACGTACAGATCGTTTTCAAAAGAACCAAGATTTATGAGTGGAAAGAACACATATCCCATCAAGCTTTGCTGTGCAAAATAGTGTTGCCGCACCTTACTTTTCCTGGTCATTCCTTTTTAGTATTTTGTATTTTTTTTTTTTTTTTTCAGTCATTCTGCAACCATGTCACTATACAGCCTTTTGCTGGGTCCAACGCGGCTGTAGGAACGTTCGTCCTGCGATTACCGTCATTACCCAACGGTTTTACCCCTATAGGCCAGTCTGGGATGTGCTTTGGTAGTGTACTCATAGATCACCGAAACCACTCGTCCAATGCCGCACATCGCTGTTACACATTCCAGAAGCCTTCTGATAAGCGCAGTCGAAGGACAACTCAGTGTATCTGATGACGTAGTGTTGTCGTACCCAGGCCCCCATTACTACCCTACAATTAGGAGTGATGAGAGTCTGGGTGCGAGTATAAATTTTATATAAAATAATGAATTGCTTTAATACTAGCGCTATTTTATAATATTGCCATAAAAGGGTTGTACTACCCAAAGAGTAAATATTTGTTCGCGGGTTACCTTTGGTCAGTAAGACGCAAAAAGACGGAAACTGGTACTTACTCATCCTCGTACCCAAATCCTTCTCGCTCCACATCCGAGGCTCTGGGAAACCTAATTCTGGGTACAAGGATGGGTACTTACTGTTTAAGATTCTTTTTTAGATGCACAGGAAACCAACTCTTAAAGTGAAAGTCGCGTAAAGTGGTATTACCTGTTAACCTGCGTGCAGCCTGCGACCCAGCGACGACTTCGGTGTTCCTTGTACCGAGGTATATGTACTTCACTTTTATTGGCTTTTGAGTTTTAAATTCTAACGAGTACGTTCATTGTCTAAATCAAACAACAGTTAGTTCGGCTGCACGCAGGCTAGCACCTAAACTACTGCGAGTTTTCCTATTTTTTTAATTGATAGTATAACACTTAATTCCACTGTAAATATATCACTATTATCAATAAGGATTTGCTATGCATCAATCAAGTGAAACCACGAGTCTGCAACCCCCGGGGAAGTCCGGGATTCAGCACATAACAGGGGATTTGACACTGTTTTAACAGTGCAATCAATGGAAAGGCAGGGAAAATAATATCAAAATCTAAGAAAATGATCATTTAAGCGGCTAACACTGTTTAAATGTTAGTCCCACTGGTATTACTGTGAAGTTTGAAGGACGTGGTTTAAGTCTTGGCTGATGCATTAGTATATGCTCGGTAGGGAAAGTATATGCTCACGGAAGGGGGGAGGGGGGGGGTGATTATGGGGTAAACGTACCGGGGATACTCGTCAGAAATTAAAAAAAATCCTTTTAAACGATCCCGGAAGTCTTGAAAAAAGGGCGTGGCTGACTGATTTCTAACCCCTAAGAGATTGCACAACAAATATTGTTAAATTAAATCCCCCTGGAGTATATCTTGTCTAAAGAATGATATCGTATAACGTTTTTTTATAATGAGTAGATGAATATTAATACTGCGTTTTACAGACTCTATATGAATTCCAAAAACATTTCAAGTCATTTTTATGGTAAAAAACATATATATTAGCAGCAGAGGATCATTTTATTTAAATTTATGTCATTCTAATCAAAAAGCTCTGTCTTGAGCAAAAAGCCAATCGAGAAACCTTGCAAATAACTGAAAATTAGGTAGACAAAACCACATTTTATAATTGGTGCTAAAACGTTGTTCAAGCAATTATGTCCTCGCCCAAATTTCAATTACATGTCATTACACTCATTATGGAAATGCGTTACGTGAAGTCGCTCTTTTATGTAATTTTTATATTTCGATACTAGGATTAACTACAATAAAAAATTAGTCATATCGAGACTACTTTGTCTCTTAATCGCTTTTTTATAAATAGCATTTTTCTAGAATTCTGAAGTTGTACAAATATAATTCTTGGATGTTATGGTTTCATTGGGAATTTGGTTAAATATGCGCTTATATGTTTCACATGTTGTAACTGATATTTAAAATACACAATTATGTAAATAAATTGACTTAAGAAATGAAACAGAAAGTATTTAGATTGACAGTCACTTTGATGATTTTTCAGTCACGGGTTTACTGACTTCTCTCGACTACTGATTACCCATGAGGTAAATCGGTAAATCTCAGAAACCCCTAATACATAACAGTCAACAACTTATGACTGACCTTCCAAGGGATGCCATTAATACCCTGCGAACCGGAAGTGTTATACCTTACCTCAGTAAAACATTCCACAAGGGGCCCAAGGCTCAACAGTTGTGTTGCTTTCACGGCGGTGTCAAAGTATTAATTTCGTGGTTCGCGGTTCGAGCCCTCATGAAGCCGTAAATTTTTTCTACTTCATTTCTTGAGACTTTTCAAGACTTTCTCTTTCTTTTCTTTTTTCTTTGATAAGTATAAACAGTTTTATAAGAAGATTGATTTTTAAAGCCATTTTTATATTTTTTACCCCTCGTAAATAATCGAACCGCGAACCACGCAATTAATACTTGGTAACTTGACAACGCCGTGAAAGCAACACAACTGTTGAGCCTGGGCCCCCTGTGAACATTCGTGAATTTTTTTACTGATGTATAAGGCAATAACTCTCTCTTCGCAGGGTAGGATGTGACATGAATTGATAGCTTCAATCAGTTCATGAATAGCGGAATGTAAATATTGATATAATAGCATGATATTTTCTTGTTGATTTTTGTACTAAGTCATAGAAAGAGCCGCAAAATCTGTCTGTACGCGTACGGGACATTCGTGTTTATTCAATTAGATTTATTTACATGTAATAATTAACTTTTAATGTAATGACATCATCACCCCAAAAACAACTGGAAAGTGCTACAGAATCTGTCCAAGTGAATCTCTCGAGTTCTTTGGTCGCTATGGACGTCGTTCATATTGAAATGGCTCAACTCGATACAATAGAAGAAGATGACCTTCCCCCTGAGCTCCCACCGAAAGCTTCATCGCTCATGAAGGAACTGCCAAGTCGAATGGCGCGGCGAGCAACACTGGCTAACACTCGTCGAACAAGCGCCGCCGTACCATCTCACTCAGGCGCTCTTCATAGACGAGTTGCTTTCAAGCTCAAAAGCCGTGCCATTAGAAGAATTGAGCAAATCGACAATGTCGACGGAGGATTTGATGTACACCATCCTGACTACGACGAAGAGGATGATCAAACATTTCGGCCTTATTTGTATGAATCGATTGACTTCAAAGCCGTGCCATTACCCATGTCAAAACGTAGAATGTTTCGCGACTCTTTGAAACTCAAAGGAATAGCTGATATTTCTCGCTTCAAAAAAGCTTTGAATCTCATGCATACGACGGGAAAGCGTTGCCATTCAGGCCTTAAAGATATGCTTAAGAATTGGGAACTATGGAGAAGCGATTTAAAGGAGGTTGAAGGGCAATTTGGTAGTGGAGTGGTGTCGTATTTCAGCTTTCTTCGCTGGCTTGTCTTTCTGAATTTATTAATATTCTTATTGGAGTATGGCTTCGTAGTATTGCCGACAGTGATTATATGCAATGGCCAATTATCTGCTAACAACGTAAGCGGCTGCGGTTACGTATTAAGTCCAATTGACGTAAACGCTAACGTGACCAACGATAACACTAACATACTTTATGATGTACTAAACTTTTTTACAGGGGAGGGGTGGATGAGGGATACTTTGATGTTCTATGGTAACTACCCCCCTAAGAAGCTTGTCTCTGTGGAAGGTGTACGTTATAATTTACCATTGGCATATCTGTTATCCGGGGGGGCGTATTTCATCTTCAGTTTCTTCTTCATGATTTCCAACCTGATGAGTAATTTAAAGGAGAGCTACATAGAAAGTGACGGCATCTTTTCATCTTCTGCTAATAAGGTATTTGCTGCTTGGGATTATTGTATTTCGGATGACAATTCAGCAGAGCACAAACACGACGTCTTTGTACAAGAAGTCAACTCTGACATCGCTGAGCAAGAACGGCAAATAAGAATCAAGAACCGTACTTATAAAGAAAAGATAATTCTCTACACAATAAGGACTGTCATCAACCTCTTTATTGTCCCAACCGTCTGGACGTCGACATTTGTTCTCATTTTTCAAGCAATTTTGTCTGAAAATAATTCCAAATCCACTACGAAAAGCGCTTCGAAGGTTCAACAATTAATCAATCGATACGGATACGACTTACTCATCGCACTCGCAATCACAGTCCCGAACTTGATACTTCCTCTATTCTTTGAGTTTCTGTCTATCTTTGAGGACTGGGGACGAGATATAGAGCTCGCCCTAAATCTGTGGCGACGAGTGTTTGTCAAGCTTCCACCTCTCGCACTATTAATGTTCATGCAATTCAAGAAATTCAAAGATGAAATCGACGACTTTGTTGAGGATGGCAGCCAATCAGCTTGTTCCACGTGCTGGGAGAATGACGTATCAGCGCAGATGTACATGTTAATCTGGGTTGACTTCATTGTGGTTGTCGTGACAACACTGGGTCTGGAGTCTCTTCGTAAATTCCTCTTCCAACGATGTCGATGTTTTAGAAAGATAGGTATGCAGCAGTTTGATATACCTAGGAACGTTCTAGACCTTGTATATGGACAGTGCCTGATTCTTATAGGGACTTTCTTCAGTCCCCTGGTCCCCACGCTAGCCGTTATTAAGCTGGTTATTTTGTTCTACGTAAAGAAAGTTAGTTTGATGCACAATAACACACTTCCAGATCGTCCATACCAAAGCGCCAAGTCGAACTTTACATTCACGCTTCTCTTGCTTCTCTCCTTCTTCATGTGCATAGCGATAGTTGGGTGGGGCATCACGAGGTTACCACCCTCCACGTGCGGTCCTTTTAGTAACAACCCATGTAACGTCGAGGGTACCATATTTGGTGAACTGTCAGACGAAGTGAACACGTGGCCAAGAGTAATCCATGATGCAGTGAGCATGATGGGAACTGCTGCTATACTCATTCCTGTTTTGATTCTCTTCGTTGTTTGTTTGTATTATTATAGATCGGTTGCACGTGCTCACCGCGTGGTCATTCGTATGCTGAAAGAACATTTAACGTTCGAAGCCAAGCTACAGCGCTCTTTGCTTAAGAAACTAGAATCACAGGCCACTTATGAAAAACACGATTGTGCCGATCATGGTAAATAGGTCGATGTGTAACATATGCAGTCTAAAGCGTACGACATTGTCTATCATTTCATTTATAGGAAATACTAAATACTTTACCAAACGTTTATAATATATGAAATGGTCCATATACAATTGAAAAATTGCTCTTTTAAAAATTTTTCTAAACTTTTGCATTAGAACCACTGAGGTAAATGTTTTTTTTTTAATTTTATGATTATTATTACTTTTTTGTTGATATTTTTGTTGATTTTTGTGTTCATTGTTTGATATTGTTTTTCTTCATTATAATTGTATTGCATTGTTAGTTGATTTCATTTTACTTTCTCTTTAGAGTTTTTGTCCGTTTTTAGTATTTTGTTAGAACGATTTCACATAACCAGATAAAAAATGCTAATGAGGATCAATTTATGCTAATACACATTACACGATTTTACACGTGGAACAACAAGGATTTTGACGAACGCTTTACTTAGTTGACGTACAGATTTGTTTTGAATAACATTTAAATCATAACAAACATTAAATTCGCGATCGTGTTTGTTCAATAGTCAAGTCAGAGTAATTTTCTTACACAGTTTTAGCCAACATTGCAGTGACAGCATTCATGGTATCCATGGCTTTTTCGCACACATGGACAACAATTTGATACAAGCTATTCTCATTGTGTAATGTGTATTAGCATAAATTGATCCTCATTAGCATTTTTTATCCGGTAATGTGAAATCGTTCTATTAAGTAATGCCCCGAGTAAGAACTAGGGAAGCAAACGGCACAGGAATGCAAGAAGGTGCTAATTGCGCATTGTATAATCCATCCATCCCATTGGTAAAAACATGAAAATCTGCTATAATTTCACAAGTTAGCGAATTTTCTAATATTTTATTTAATGTCTGTTTTCGCTTTCACGAAAGCTTTCTTTAGCTTTAATATTAAGGCAATTCTGACGTGGGGAACATAGCAAATTAAAAGCATCTTTTGGCTATTGTTTTGAGTGCTTGTGATTGGATAAGAGCTTTTAATACAAAAGAAACTTTGTTTCAAAATAGAGTTTATCCACATTTTATTTCAAAAATGTGTTACCCACAGATGGATACATAATCAGTGTGAAAACCAAGACATTCGTACATGGGGAACTTGCTATGACGCAGAACAATAGAGAGTTCCCTAGTTCTTTAGCGCATTGTTACTTAAGGTGTTGTCGAGGAGTGATCCTGATGGAATGTTGATAATTCTTGCTCGTTCACTGTTCCAAGTAAATGAGCCAACAAATTAACAAGGGTCTTGGTCCACTAGATATCTCTGATTTCTGATTTTATTATAACTTCGATGTAATATTTGACAAAAAACACATATAACCTGCATATAGCAAAAACGCGGCTTGTCTAGGCAGGTTAGATGTTAGAAGAACTTAAAAATATTTACAGTTGAGCAATGACAATAGAAGAGTATGAGGAAAATATATAATTGATAAATACTTGATAAATAAATACACGTGAAAGAAAGAAACAAACAAAAGAAAATAATTATAATTTGAGGTAAAGCATCTTATTATTAGATATTATTACTATTTTTGTTTGAACTATTACTTAAATAATTTTTAAATTTCAACATAGTATCCATTTTTTCTTAAACAGTCAAATAAACTTAGTTTTAGATGTTATTGTGAGATTCTAAACCGACGGATGGAATCAGATTGCAAAAGGATATTTTATTTGTCATTTCTCCATGTCTGAAATATCTAGCACATGACCCCATGAAATGATGGTGGACAAACCAGCATGATGCAGGATGCAGGCTGCTATGTGAACACACCTTGGACTAACTTTAACCAATCTCGTACCCGGAGCCCGCACTATTGCCATCCAGCGGAAGTCAATGCGTAAGAGACTCTGGAGGACTCCATTTTTTCTCGATTCGTGATTGGTTGAAAATGACGCGAGCGCGCGCATTGTTTTCAAGTCGATTTTTCAAGTTGCCAGCGCGCGCTCGCCTTGTTGGTCAAGAAAATCATCCTTTTTTCACATAGCCACACATGTTTTCACACTTTTGTTTTTAAAAAGGTGTAAATATCGTTTCTAAACTAAGTTGTTTGCTAAACCTTCTTCATTTTTGTAATTTGTAATTTGACCTCATTTGCATAATTTGCGACGGAAAAGCGTCGCAAATCCAGTCGATTCCTCCAGAGTCTCTCACGCATTGACATCCACTGGATGCAAAAGTGCGGGCTCTGGGTACGAGATTGACTTTTAAACAATGAACAAAGAAAGGCTATAGATTATAATTGCTTTATTCGTATCAAATATTTGACCAAAGAATACAATTGATTATGTACATGCTGATGTTGAGACCGAGAGAAATACTTAATATTGAGTATCGCAATCTCGCAATCAATAGATCCCCAGAGCTTTAACGTCATGTACCGCATTAGCAATGCATTGTGGGATATACTTGGGACAAAACATGGCGGTTTTTTTTTTTTTTTTTTGCTTCTCCAAAAACTGATCCCACAATGCACTGCAAATCAAGTAGGTGACTGCATATTTAAACTAGTCTCCTCTCGCTGCCGTTATGATCGACTCTCGTTCCCAATTCTCTCCTTGGAACTTTTTGCTTTTGAAACGTCTGCGTACAGTGTATGTATAGGCTATATGCTATATTATATACTTGATTACAAGTGATTACAGTCTGGCCACTGTTGATAAATAAACTAAGCTTAGTATATCCAAGGAAAACAAAAGAAAAAAAACATTGTATTTCCCAGCGCAGACCGCAGTTGAGTCTACAATGTTAGATATCCATATAAGGACCAGAAAAGCTATATTGATTATGTATACAGTCTTATGGACATACACGGGGTTATATTTCTGAATGCCGTCTTATTATAAATACTCCCAACATGCATGTCACAAAATTCAGGTTCACTCAAGTGAACTAGTCTCATGGCTTAATGGTTACGCTCCAGGCGATGCATAGCGTTGGGTTCAAATCCTTGTGCTCGCCGTTAAAAATGGCTTCGAACAAAAAATCCTTGAAAGTTCTTATATACTTTCTGCATATTGTTGCAGTTTAAATATAATGTTTTTGTATATAAGAAGTGCTCTCAGTAGCTAATGCAAAAGGTAACCTAAAAGCGTACAAAACTGAGCCATGCCGCACTGAATACAGTTGTTACAATCTAGTTTCTTCAATGGTAGCAGTTGGTACCATCGCCTTGGTACCATGGCCTTCCTCACGAACTTCTGCTATAAAACAAAAGATAGACAGAAATGTAATCAAACAAGAGAAGATGACTGAACGAATTTCTCATTAGTATCTAGTATTGTACGTTCCTCCAACATGGCCGCTGGTCTTTTGTTGTGGAAAACCAGCAATAAAATGCTACTTTGCTCGTTATACCTTTGTTTGCGATCTCAGCTTTACACGAATCAAAGCCATCATTGCTATTGGCTTGGTCAGTTTTCTTGTTGATTTTGGCTGTAAATTCAAATTAAAAGATGAAATCAGGGCCGGGTTGTTGGAAGCTCGATTAGCGCTAATCCTGGGTTAACTCTTAAAAAACCTAAGGAGTTAACCCTGGATTAACACTTATCGAGATTTGAACAACCCAGCCCCAGGAGTAAGAGGCAGGGAACTAAAGAACAATTTATTCACAAGGTTTTTAGTTAGTACTAAGGAAACACTCGAACCTTTTTTGTCTTTTTGTTCGTCAATGACCATGTTGGCAATGTTTCTTTTCTGTCGGATACGCGCTAATGCTTCTCTGACCTGGAGCAAGTTAAACAATGCAATAATTCTGAACGTTTGGATTTGCTTGTACGATGTGTGTGAATAACCGCTGACATTCCGCTATAAATATGCGTACAGAAAATAAAATCTATTAAGGACTTTCCAAAATGGCGCAATATGTCACGGTTGCCGACCAGGGCACTGGAGACGAAGCTCTTAAAGTCTCAAAGGCCAGCCTTCGAATGGTAAATTTCGATGGTTTCTTTACTAGATTACTTTATGAATAACATAGAGTACAAACAATAAATGTGTGCAACACTTTCCACTATGTACTACAAAATAGTGTTAATTAAACAATAGAAAACAATAGAATTAGCATAATTTAGCAGTATTTAGTGGTATATTATGTTGCAGAGTTTTAGTGTTTGTACTCTATCATCACATCTTTCAACCTTTTGGACACTGTCTACATGCGTTTTTCGTGGTGCTTTTTAGGTATAAGGCCAATAAGGTTACCCGATGATTCGTAACTAGTCGTTTTGAAAGTCGTGTATACAAAAAACATAATCAGATATCTTCAAGATCTTCATCACCTGATCATCAAGGAAGCAGTGAAACACTGGTAATAGGATTCCCTGAAAGAAATAAAAAGTAAAACTGTTTGAGAGTTGAAGTGAAATTCAATGTTGCCACGCCCAACGCAACACCCCATCTCATAGGGATTAATAACCAAAATTGATCTTAGGGGAATAAGAGAGGTATTACAGAACTAAAGACCTAAAAATATGCAAGTGTCATACTATTTTAAAACGATTGAAAATGGCACAAATTGCATTATATTCTCATTAGATTGTTTTGGATTTTGTTACTGAATATTACGATTTTTTCTTTTCAATGTCCCCATATTTCATTGTTGCATGCCTTGTACTTTTGATTCTTTATCGTAAGTCGCCAAATTTTATCTTAAATTCAACAGAACTTACTTGAGAGGAGTTGACAATGATGAAGATGTAAGTAAGAACCCAGTGAAATGAGACCAGAAATCCAAGAAGCCATGTAATACCAAGCAAAGGGAACAACGCAAAAACGCCCTTGATTCCTCGCCTAAACAAACATGATTGTCACTACTTAGGAAGGTTTTCTGTAGTGCAAAATAAGACTATTTTACTATTTTTCTGAATAATTCTCTTAGCACCGGCGTTATGTAAAATCATACCCTTTCAGATCGAGGGGTACACATCGCAAGAAGAGGCCACAGCAAAGGAGAGGGAAAAGAGAGGGACATTTTGCACCCATCAGCTGCATATGTCGACCAGTGAACCTCAAATCTCGAGACGATGTTGTTTCATTGTTTTGATATACATGATGTAAAGAAGAATTGTTTGAATGTATTTAATTGCCGGTAATGTTTCGTATTTTGTAAGTAAAAGTAGAGAGACCTGTCCAAAACAGTAGTAAGCAGTGGGAATCCATCAAAAAGTATCACCATACAATCTCCGCAGCCCAACATTTGTCAAAGTCGTCTTAACTAAAGGTATTGGGATTTGAATACTCACTTGGCTTTCTGTAGATTGTCATGTGCAAATCGTTGTGAGATCTTGCTGAAAATAACTCGAAGAAAGACAAAAAATAGAACCAGATTGACCTGTAAAAAGGTACGGTCAGGCTTTGTCAATGAATGGGTCTTCGGTGTAAGTGGGACCGATTAGAATGATGGGAAGATTACAAAATAGTGTAAAATCATGCTTAATGCATGTTTTAGCATAATAACAATTCCTTTCGGTCTCCAATCCACCATTTTCCTCAATGTTGAGCATCATTTAGAAATACTTGCTTAATTTATGTATAAATACTTAATTTATAATAGCAATTTGTATATTAGCATGGGAAACGAACTGTGCGGAAACTTACCAGCAAAACTACCAATATAGGTCCATTGTAAATCCAGAAGCCATCGTTCAGCCAACAACTGAATCATAACAGAATCAATTCAAAAATCATCGCTAACGCTTACTAGCGACATTAATATCGTACGTGAAGGACTACAATTACTGGTACAATTTCCTTTGATAGACCCATGCCAAAATGGCCGCCCATCATTGAAATAATTTGTCTTTCAAACGTACGCGTCCTATATTTCTCTGCAAATTTTAAAGATTCTTAAGAGATGTATGGATTCCATATATTATTGACTTACAAGTTTCTTTCCAGCTTCATTTCATACTTCAGAACTCCACAGTAGATGTCTTCTTGCGTGACGGCCATATCGTAGGTAGAAGGTGTGACGGCAGCGGTGACGCCAACCACTATCAAGGGAATTCCTGGAAAGCGAAACATTGAAACTTATTGCTTGTCGAAAACGTTTGACGGTCTACGCGTGTCTGTATTTGGAACGCTTTCAAACATTCTGCCAACTGAAGAAACTCTCGTGTTTATATTTTAATTCATACTCATTTGCGCTGTAAAAAGATTCCTGGTCCGTTCACATCACGAAGCTTTGCAAGCGCTTTTAAATCTGCTATTTTGAATCACTACGACAGTTGTAGCCATATTGTTAAGACAACGTGTGCAAGTTGTATGTGATGGCTGTAGGCAAAAGGAGTGCAGTCTGATTCGGCCTTTAATAGCTTACCCCAACCAATGATGGAATACGCAATGATGTTTTGTTTATCCACCGCGAACACTTTCACGATCATGAAATACAAATTAAGAGCTTCAGCTGACATCCATGTGAAGACCGCTGTGTGGAAGTAGTGTTGTGTCACAGCTATGCCCGTGCATATGTCCTAGTAGAGCACAAAAGAAGAAATTAGATTTAGAAATTCGATAATTAGGTCATGAGGGGGTCTGGGATTCAAACGCCTAACCACCGTACATTTCTTCTCCTTTTTTATTGTTTCAACCACCTTTACGTTTATTGATCTCTCCAAATTTACTTCAAACTATAGCTAACTAAAAATACATACAGTGCAAATGAAAGCTTCTTAAAACCCGATAAAATTAGCAATATTTTTGTTTGTAGCTCCATCTGGTGGCTATTCGAACCGAGCCTTGACTACCAAATATGGTATCAAAAATATACTAAGCGCGTTTTTGAAGTCTTCCAGAGCCGCATAATACGATGGTTACATGTTTCAATCCCCCCTTAGTGAACTAAGGAATACAGTGAAAATATAGATCAGATTAATCGATAGCCTGCGTAGCCAGGCATGCATTCCTAGCCGCTCCGAGACAGCTTCCAAACTCTCTCGGATCAGCTAGGAACGCCTGGCTACGGTTGGTACAATACATAGTCCTTACCGTATATGTATTTCTACTTGTAAATGTCACATCTATCATGTAGACTATATTTGCCATACATAGCGATGCCATCAGGTTCTTGTGAACGTAGATTTTTTCTTTGAGCCTTTTCAAGCTGCAACAAGAGCTCAAATGTTAGTTATTCACCAATCATTGATTTACATTAACTCGAGGGAAGACAATTAAATATAAATTTAGTTTATTGAATCCGGAAACCTATTCAGTTTTTATTATCAAAGTCATATTATGACGTAAACAGGACATGAAGACAGCATGACGTCATATAGAATGGTCTTCTTTTGCATCGAAGACGGGCAAAGGCAGGAGACACGGTCTTAATTTTTTTGTCACGCCGTAGTTTAGGATCCCAAGTTTGATACTCGACTGGAGCACGTCAAAAAAGCATTGATTTGTCTTTGAAGTCGCGACACAACCTGTCATCCACTCCAAATACTCACCTGAAATGCTTCAAAAAACCTGTCAGTATTTGGAACATAAGTGTTGTGAACATGCAACACTTAATGAGTGGGTCTAGCACTTACTTTAGACTGGAGAATAGTATAATAACAGCTGACATTGTTATAGTATTTGTATATTATTTGAGTAGTAATAGTATTTGTACAGTATTTGTATGGTATTAGTATACTTACTTTAGACCGGAGAATAGTATCAGCTGACATTGTGATAGTATATTTGTACAGTATTGTATAGTATTAATACTTACTTTAGACTGGAGAATAGTATAATAGCAGCTGACATTGTAATAGTTCCAAGGCTCATCAAACCAAGCTCCAAATAATGCTGGTACTTGTTTAGTTTTGGTTTGTATTTTATTTTATGGACTATTGTTCTTTGACTGCCGTTGGAGATCTGATATAAATTGTATTGTACCATTATGACATATTTGGGCATCCAAAGGATCAACTACTAACCCTCTCCTCCCCTTCCTCCAAAACATGGTTAACAATGGTTTACTTTTTTAACGGTAGACCATTATACTTCCTTCCCTCAAGACATACGAAATAGGTTCTTAGGCCAATCAGAGCGCGCGTAATAGACGCCAATGACGTCATGTGTGCTTTGACGAAGTGGATCATGGTATTAACGAAAGCATCAAGATGGCGATTACCTTATTAACATGTATTAAAAGCTACGGAGGACAAAAAATCTTTATAAAATTGAATGCTTTCGAAAAGTATTAAAAGGACCAGTGTGCACCATTGTGCGTTAGGGCCTGAAAGCGGCCATTTTCAATTTACCGAAAGTCTATAAATAGTCTCCTTCACGGATACCTGCACCATCTTGAAAGGTAGCCGTGCCTTAACATGGAAGCGAGACAACCGTTGAGCGTGCAATGATAGATACCTGTGAATAATTGTGTGTAGGTGTGAAAGAAGGTTTCTATCATTGCACGCTCAACGGTCGTCTCGCTTCGATGCAAAGGCATGGCTACCTTTCAAGATGGCGCAGGTAACCGTGAAGGAGACTATTGTATTTGACCATCTCACTTTTCTAAGTACTTTAAACGCTAATATTAGAGTTTTAAACCATCTGACATTCGTTTTATGGTGATATTTGGATACTAGAATGTTTTGGTGTAATTCATAACAATAACAGAGGCGCGCAAAGCCTAATGGTGCAAACTGGGTCTTTAAATGACAGCTTAGCTACTAGAGTATTTTAAAAGCCCTGTCTGCAAAACGACTATAATTCTTGTTTTTCCCAATACAGATTGCAACAGTAGAAACACGATCGCAAAGCAGCAACTTGGCTCAGTTTGTACTTTCATCAATCCCATGGTGCATCTCTTCGACGTCTTTGTCATAACATGTAATATACAGATACCTGAGATGAATGATCCGAGCAGTTTATTGATGTCTCCAGTGATGTTTGGTTTTGAAAGCTTTGAGTCTGATGAGAAGTAAAAAGTCAAGCAATGATTATCTGACTTGTACTGATGAACTTTATGAATTGATTCCTAATAAAAGATTGTTATTATTATTGATGTAGCAGTAACTAGCTATTGGTGAAAGGCCCTTCTTTGTTAGAAGAGATCTCTCTCACTCAACTCCCTTACGCCATCTTGGAAGTTAATGGTAAGCTTAAAATGATAGTCTTTAAACTGCAACTGTGGGGGAGGAGGGATCCGACTTTTTTACACATAGTAAACAATTCAACTCTTCCTCTCCATTGAGAGAGAAATTTAGAATGATTGGAAAGTATTCTGGGAACGTAATTTTAAGATGGCAGATCTTCGCTTGGCAGTACAGGGACTCTGTAGGAGTCTGCTCTAATACCATCATGATAAATGAATACCTTACTTGCAGGAGGTCTCATGTGAAGAAATACTCTTGTTTTAGTGAATATTTACCATGTTTTGACTAGGCGACTTGCTGTAATTTGTGTGAACCAATGAAACAACATGTTGAGGAGCAGCTGACGAAATTTTCAAAAATATCTTCGGACGTTGCCAGGTTTTAAGCATGGAAGCTGTCCTCAAATACAAATTCCGTAATACAACCTGATTTCTGAAAAAATAGAAATACACTTATACAATGTAAAAGTCTTCTGCCGTGTTTCTATTCGTCATCTTGAAAGGTACCCGTGCCTTTACATCGAGGCTAGACGACTGTTGAGCGTGCAATGATAGAAACCTTTTTTCACACCTACAGACAATTATTCACAGGAAACCATCAATCTATAGTCCATATCGCAACCCGCGGAAAGCCTTGTGACGCAGTGCATTTTGGGATTGATAAACTTAACAATGATGTCAGTGGTCCAGTTGTCTGTAACGTAGACTCAGTTTTAGAAAAACTTTGGGAAATATTGATATTATAGTTAATCTCAGAAGCGAAGAAACAAACAAATATCAACATGCAAGGAAATACAGCAAGAAAAACCTCCAAAAAATGTACAGGACCGTACAGTTAATAAAGAATTTCCATTTACTAGGCAAAAATTAAAAAAATGAAAACAAACATGTTGTCTGTGGAAAAATCGAAACTAATTAGTGTTTTTACGATTTTAGCGATTTGTTTTGATGAAGAAAGGGAGATATGTATCCCATGATACATTGCAAAACCATTCAAAATGGCGGTCTTGTGATATGGACTATGCAAAGGCAAGGTTACTTTTCAAGATGGCGCAGGGAACCGTGCAGGCGAGTTTAGCGCATAATTTAATGCCCACCGACTATTTTATTTTATTTATGATTTTTACATGACGTAACAGCGGCCATGACAGCCCCTTTTCTATATTCTGGTAAAATATCCGTGCACGAAAAAACTCAAGACGAAGACTAGAAGACTTGTAGGATCTATTCAAATTGGCGCAAAAACAGGTGTGGAGGAAATGTCGTCGCTGAACATTGCCTATTAACCCTTTTTACTGACCCTTTACGGTAATGTAGTCTTGAAGCATTCCGGCTCCTCGATCCGACTGGTGGTCTTTGATGACCCAGAAATTGGAGTTGTAATTCTCTGTACAACTTATATATAATCTAAAAAATAAACGTCGGGTTGAATGATTAGCTGTTCATAAAATTGTAAAAAGATTGTTCCTACCTACCTCGAGTTTCTTCGCCCGATCGAAAACCCCACAGTACGACTGCAAAACCGGGTTTGAATAGACTATTTCTCGGAAAAAGTATATCATGGTCTATAAAAAACGAATGTTCTTTGTTGTGAACAATACAAAAAGTAGACAAAGGGTCATTGTATTTGCAGATTCTAGTGAAATTGAACCAAGTTTCGGTCGAAATGCATGGGTTAAATCCCACTAAAATCGTGGAAAATGAACCATTTTCGGTCGAAATACTTCCACATTCCCCATAACCATCACTGGAGTAAGTAGGGGAAGTGAGAAAAGGGGGGGGGGGGGGAGAGTGCAAATATTTTGGCGAATTTAATGCATGTCAATATAGGAAGAATTGAATTTTACCTTCTCGTGGTTCCATTTGAGTTTTGAACATTTTATGACGTCAACAGTGTGTCAATAAGAGTACAAACAAGTCAAAAACGTGCGCAATTTGTTAAATATTTCATAAAATTGCATTGTAAATGATCCACTAACCTCAGCAAACAACCCGTTTTCATTATCGTTTGCCCACGTGATAGGACGTTCAAATTGTGACATGGCTTTTTGAAGAATTTGCTCCAAAAATCCCAAGAGAATTCCTCTATTGGAAAATGTGCTTGAGTTGGTGATGATGTCTTCTAGAATATTTTGCAGATCTGTCGATACATTTGCTTCCTTGATCTACAAGTTAGAATACAGCTTTATTATATTGTTTCTGGATTTAAAACTCACTATTTATAATGCATGGGTTATTCATCGGTTTTACATTAGTCTGCGTTAGCCACATGTTTCTAGCCGCTACAAGGGGGAACGAGGAAGAGGTTTCTCGAGCCCAAACTCCCTCGAACAACCTAGGAACGCCTGGCTAGGCAAGCTAATTTGACATATCTACCAAAAACTACACTAGCTTTTAATTAACACCTCTATGCCCTCTCCCAGAGAGAAACATTCTCGATAAACATCAACGCAATGCTTCATCGGGATTTTATCAACTTCCTCAAAGAAGTCCAACAACAAAAATTGAAATTTGATATTTATTTACCCTTCTAGTATAGTGCTCTACTAGCGTCTTGTCTTCACAAGTGCATTCATCGTCCCATTGAGTAATTTTCACTCGGTTGTTTATAAAGCATTTTGCTCTAAAGTTTCCTATATATAATAAGAAGAAATTGAAAATGAAAACCGAAGAGAAGCGTTCTATATTTATACAAGCCCTTTCAGGGTCGTACCTGTCCATGCTGGATTTATATCAGAACAGTTCTTCGACATCTCTGTACCTATCGGTGGCCAAGCCCAGAAATCGTGTCCTTTGCGCATGTTTGTGCAATGGTCTGCAATATCAAAAACAGCCCAGAAATCATTAAAAGCAATCTGTCAGTGCTAAACCTTGGTAAACATGCAGTGGATTCTTTCTTCAATACTAGATCCACTAATTCGACCAACAAAAATGTATGAAAGAGAAGCATAAATTACGTACGACTCTAACTATAACATGAGTATTTTATAAACATTTTTTAAATACTCCTCGAAGTTTGAAAATATAGCTATGGCTTTCCCTTCGAAAAAAACATAACTCGTAATAAAGTTGAAACTTTCAGCAAAATAACAATCGAATTGAAAAAATCATTAAAAAGGTAGTTTTCTAAACACGCACCAATTTGAGGCTACTGTTTTCGAAAGTTTACAAGAACTGAACTCTTCTAGCTCCAAAATAAAAACCAACCAAAATGTCACCTTAATACGAGGTCGCTCTCAACTAAATTTCTAACTCGAATTCCCATTCCAATAGTCTCCTTCACGGTTACCTGCGCCATCTTGAAAGGTAGCCGTGCCTTGTCATCGAAGCGAGACAACCGTTGAGCGTGCAATGATAGAAACCTTCTTTCACACCTATAGACAATTATTCACAGGTATCTATCATTGCACACTCAACGCTCGTCTCGCTTCGATGCAAAGGCACGGCTACCTTTCAAGATGGCGCAGGTATCCGTGAAGGAGACTATTGCTTTTTATGTAATCCTATGTGACGCATTTTTGCAAAAAGCTGTATACATTTACACTTAATACTGGATAAATCAAAACAGTGCTTACAGCTTGTACATAACACTTCGTCCGAACCGTCATAACATTCTTTCCGCATATTGCAAACCAAATCCTTATGGATGACCTGATCTCCGCTTTGACACATGAAGTGTCGAGAGCTTGAAAAGATAGTTGTATTCCGAATATCTGTTGAAAAAGGAACGAAGATTTAATTAATCGACCATTACTCCTTACTCAGATTGGAATTTTGACTCCTCACACTTCGCCCTCCAAAACTCACTATTTGTACCATCCCGAAAGAGTTTTAGATGAGTTTCCGAGGAAATAATGGAATACATTAAGATAATAATCCATTATTTCCACAGATTGAAATGCCGATAATTGGCCAAATCAAAATATAGCCGTCCAATTTAACAGCCATTGCTCCAAACTGAGTATGTCCATCAGAACGGCTTTTGTGTTATATAAACTTAAGACCGTAGTACGTCACTAACTTTGTATAACTTATCTAATATATACTCCGCCATTATTTTTCGTTTCGGCTGTATAGTGACAGACATATCAATACAGGGGCGGATCCAGGGGGGTGGATTGGGTGGCTAGCCAACCCCCTCTTTTATTTGAAAAAATATAAAGACTGTTTTGAAAAAAAGAAATTAAATAGAAGAATTATTGTATAACGGAAAATATGTATAATTACTTCGAAAAAAATGAGTGAGAAGAATTGATTGATGTAACTACGATATAAATATCTTTCATATAAAAGTTTGTGGAAAAGTATATAGGTGTGCCCGAGATAACGATAAACGATAATTTCACATGAGCCTATAAAGAGTCAAATAAATTGTAACGTATTTTGATATTAAATTTTAATGTTAGCCACCCCTCTCTGAAAAATCCTGGATCCGCCACAGCAATATACCCATATCTCGTACCTGGATAACTCCCCGTGCATTGGATGAAGCTTTTTGGAGCACTTGCAATGTAGCAGCCACCATTAAAGCGAGTATTGCTACAATAGAAAGGAATATCTCCCAACATCCACTGCGATGGGCTTTGATAAAACTTGTCGAACCGGCACACTAAAAATAGAGTGACCATGTAATCATAAATGTGAAAGTGTTTAAAAAGCAAAAGTACAGGTTACTTAAATGATTAGCTTAGTGGACTTAGGGGCGTATCCAGCTGTGGGTGGTAGCTGAATTTGTCGTTTGTTTAGCAATTTTTAATTCTTTTTTTTAATTCGTACGTCATCGCCGCCATGTTGGATGAAGATATCACAAAACATTCCTCGTTAGTTTCGCTTGTTCATTCATCCAACATGGCGGCGAAAGCTTTGATCTTTATTTCTCAGGAGATTCTTTTTCAGTGATTGGAACCCAAGAATACCTGTACAATCCTCTTCTTTAAGCTGCATAAATTCCCACACTCTGCGGCAATAAGGCTGACTGCATGTTTCGCTATAGGCTGACCCTTGAATAGACGGCTGCCTTGAGCACGATAAACGACCATTGTGACATTGGCAAAAGACACAGGAACTTGAATACCATTCAGTACCTTCAGCGAACTTGTTTCCTTTTTCGTCTTTGCATGTATACTCTGGAAATTATCGTAACTTAGTCAAAAATGCTTTTGTTTTATGCAACAAATATTTACATGTAAGTAATCAGTACTTTCTTTCTTACTTTCTTGCTTGTGTTCCATCATTATTTATATTCATTTTTTATGATTAACCTGGCAATCATTCATATGATATGATAAGCAGCCCCAAACTATAAGCCCTTAGTTTTCTTTTTCGCTGCCTACCATCCATCAGCACTCATCAGCACCGATCGACTAACATGCTTTTTGATTGCTGCTTAAGTGCAGGAGTTCTATTGTTAGGTTAGGTTTTGTTTTATTTAAAGACTTATCTATAGGTGGGCGCCAATGTTTACGTTTTAGCTAATTTGCATAAAAGTCAGAAATCGAATTTMAAGACACAAGAAAATCAAGCCGATAAATGAAAAGAACTCATACCTGTTAGCAATTCCTGCAAATTTGAAGGCAATTGGTTAAATATTTTAAGAGATATCACGCGCCGAATTTGCAAGATTTTCTAAAAAAATGACCGTGGTTGGCATTATTTTGCCAACCACTGAATGTTTTCTATAGATTTTGTGGTTTTGAAATGCCGATATCTCGAAATGTAAAAAGGCGTTTGACCTAAAATTTTCAGGTTTTGTTGGCATCAATATAATCTTGAATTATACGAGTTCAGATTGCTTATTTTTTGAATTTTATATTTTGGTTGTAAACAAACTACGTCATTGTACGCCCACCTATTGTTTGTCCATTGTTTTCTCAACCTATCATGAGAGCCGTTTTCCTATTTAAAATCTGTAATTTTACAGACTGTCAGGGGGAGGGATAGTGCTAAAGGTTATTAAAAACGATATTTTGATAAACCCACCTTTATTCAAAAATGTTCGGACATTTTCTTGGCATGCAAATTTGTCGCCAACAACATCATTCTTAGTAACTATCATATTGTCGACGGAACAATTGTGAAATCCAGGATCTTGACGAAGCTCGTTGGCTATTTCAGATAAAGCTATTTAAATTGAAAATAATATCAATTATTAAAGAGCAATGAGAAAACATGTAAATCTTATACGTTAAGATTAATATCGTATATCTAGGATACCAAAGATGACATAAACACCCAAAACAAAAAAGATAAAAAAGGAAACGAAAAAAAAAAGAATAAAAGGAAAAACGGAAAAAAATTATCAATTTTATCCACACAGTTTTGCGTCCTATGAAATTCAAACTTACAATATATCTTTAAGGTTTTACAATACTCTACATAGTATGAATCAAAATCAATGAAACCGAACAAAAAAGATACTTTTTTACACCAAAGTGTGCCACCATTTCCAATAAAATGACACTTGATTTTGAGCAAAATCGAGTGATGTAATCGAATCAGTTTTCACTGATTTTTACCTTGGCAACGCTTCGCACAACATATTCCACCATTATACACATAACAATGGGGGCTGATCATGAACAATGGGCATTTTCTTGATCTCTTAGCACCACTAAATACGAACGAGCAGTTCTTGTATTCCCAGGTTTCACCAGCAATTTTTAAGGAATCAATCTGTGGTCGAAACTCAATTGCTGAAAATATACCAACCAATAGGTGAGTCCATTTTAAAGTTAGAATGAATATCCACAATGAGTCATTCGCAAATTGTCGTCCCTCTATTTCCTAATGGACTGTGATAAAAATATTTTCAGTTCTTAAATTGAAGTTTCATGTCAGTCAGTCACTGACACGAAAGCCTCAACACTAATATAAAAAAATATGATGGAACTTTTAAGAAGATCTACTGCCTCAGTGTTACCCAATTTAAATACCAATGTGGTTCAGTGGCATATCCATCTTTTCTCCTTTCCCTTGATACTTTCCCTTATTCCCTTTTTTCACTTGTGATATTTTTTGTGGAATGCATTCTACTTCAGCGCTTTGTATTGCAGCCCTCCCTGAAGAGAATCCTGGGTCTGCACAGGTGTGATCAGGTGGGTCATAAAACTGACCAAATCACAACTTATTCTCAGCATCTACAGAATTGATCTAGTGCTAATCGCTGTTCACTTGTGGAGGGAATAGTCCAATCAGAGCGACACTTTGCTTACCGGTCCTCTAATCACACGTGGCTTACCTTCACAAATGCGTGACTTCGTATTAATAAAATTTGTGACGTTACAGAATTTTGCGTGACATATTTCGGGATCCTTTCCGGTGTATTTTTCTTCATAAGCAGGGATATTGATTATGATTGACCTTTTGCATTGGAGAAAGGAACTGTTGCAAGTGCAAACAGTACAACTTGAAATATCAAATCTACTGCCAACCCAAATGTTCCCGCTTTCGTCTCGACAATATTCTGAAAGAAACCAAATAATACTTTAATCTGGCTGACCGACCGACCGACCAATCGACCGACTGATGGTTGATCTCTTACTGTTTTTGCAGTTTTTCTCGTCAGAACCGTCGGTGCATTCTTGGACGCTGTTGCAAAGATGTTTGACTCTGACAACTTCGTCATGTTTTTCACAGTAGAAATACTGTGACGCCGTTGACTTGAAATAAACTATAAATGAAATGAAAAGGCCTTTTTTAAACGCTGACTTATGCTCTCAGCCCAATGCAAATAATCCTTAATTTTTTCTTTCCATCTTCGAGTTATTCCTAAATTTGGTGCAAATTCGGTACAAATTCGGCGCACACTCGGTAGCAATTCGGCACCAAATAAGTAAATAATAGATCTGTGCTTGGGAGTAAACTTTGACACCTTCCTTCCTTAGTGCTGACTTTATGGAAGTTGCAAATCATATCATTAAACTAAATTGATATTTCTCTCTTCTTACCGTTGCAATCGCGTGTAGTTTCATTGGAAATTTTACAACGTGGCTCAGAGTCAAGATAGCAAGTCTTAGCTTTCACCACGAAGCGACCATAGAAAGCCTTAATGTTGTGTTGTGTACATGAGATCTTTCCCTTGTTACAAGTACAGTTAGTACAGTTGGACATAAACCATTGACTGCTTTGGGTATGAACTATTTTATCATCACTAAGACAAACTTGAGAATGGTATTCTTTACAAGTTGGCTTCCCAAACAAACTACAGCGGCAAACAGATCGTCCATCGTCCTCAAACCATACGTCACGAGTTGTGCGAGCAATGCCCAAACGATCCCAGCATCCAGTAGTGTTTGTCTTGCACGTGACATTACCATTGTTGCAAGTGCATTGTTGGAGTTCGTTTGGATACCATATCTCGCCGTTGGAGTAAGTGTTACCTTGTCGGTCCGCACAGTCCACGTCTACAACAATTTTTATTGCTTATCAAAGTCCAATTTAAGCTAAATAATGCTTTGCAAAAAACTTCAGGATAATAGATCATTAAAAAAATATTAAAAGTTATCAAATTCATTAATAATTCAAAAAAGGTAAACACAATAGAAAATCATTGTCGTGACCGCATCTTTATATGAGCAAGAGATTTGTCCCGATTTGCATACGACTTTAACTTCGATTTTCTCTTACAAATGATATTTTATGCTGAAGTTTTTTTCGAAATATGCTTTACCTTATGCTGGAATTTGATAAGCAATATAAAATATTCGCGTCCGATCTTTATGGGCTATAAAACTGCTCGCTTGCAGCTCGCAGTTTAAATGCCCATAAAGGTCTCCCGCTCATATTTCATATATTACTTAAAGTCGTATGCAAATCAGGACAAATCTCTTGCTCATATAAAGATGAGTCTCAGCAATGATTTTCCACTGTGATTACTTTATGATTATTAATAAATTGGCCGATAACAAAACGAAAAAGGGACTGGGTACCAACTTCCAAATCTAATTAAATAATGGTTCCAGAAAGAATAACCCCATCATGTGAAAAGAGCGCCTTATAATAGGCTTACTAAGTTTCATGATGTTTGAACTTATAGCAATAAAGTTATGGACATTCAAAAAAATGCCAAAATTACAAAGAAATGTATGGTGTCCAGCCAAAGCGTCCAGCCAAACATACATTCTTTGTAATTTTCGAAATTTTTGAAAAATTATATTCCCAATTCTAATGACTTAAACTTGCTCAAACTTTAAAGTTTAGCTAATTTATATGTGCTTTATCTATCAACAACAGATTTCTGTAAGATTGTAGCACTTTTAAAATTTTCAGTCCCAGGCCCCTGCTCGTTTTGTTATCGGCTAATAGTCGACTTTAGATATTTTGGTTCAGTGACCATGCACAAAAGAATTGCAGACGAGGCTCCGGGGAAATAAAAGAATAAATCAAGATTATCCCTTGTTTCCCCGGAGCCTCGTGTGCGTTCTTTTGTACATAGTTATCGAACCAAAATATCTAAAGTTGACTATTGGATAATGGTGATTATAATTTTTGACTATTATACTGACACCTCTACTGTTAGCTTTTTTTATTTTGCATGACAATATCATGTGACCGGGCCAAACTGTGCGGTAAATATCTCAAACAAAAGGGACTACTATCAAACTTGGTCAGAAATCTTGCAAACACTATTCAGGACATCTACAAATTCCCCACCGCATTAATCCTATTCAGGCAGGGGGGGTGGGGGGGGGGGGGGGGGGGGGGGTGGGAGAGGGCTTTAAAGTTTACCATAAAATACCGATGTATACAAAAAATTAAAAGTGTGAGATTTGGAGACAAATTACTCAAAGACGAACGAAGACACTATAGGAAATGGCGTCATCACAATTATGACTTCACAACTGTCACCATGGATACAAAACGAACCATCACAGGAGAGCAGTAACGCCTAAATATGATATTTCACTGGTTATCTAGATATAGGTATATAATTTATCAAAATTACCTGATATCTATGACGTCATTGTGACGTCATATAGAACAGGATTCAATTAAAAAACAACAACAAACGTATTATTTTCAAGTCATTTCAATAATAAACAAGTGATATTTCAGCATTCTCTACTGCATTGTAGGCAATTTATTAAAATGAATTATAAATCGTTAAATGGTGTAAATGACCAGTCTGAATGGGGTTGAACAAAAGATAAAATAAATTTTTAGTGGTGCGATACTGAGAACAGTTAAATCGAAAAAAATAATCTGGACAGTTGTTTTTACTATGAAACTTATGAGACATCGACACATCGCCAAAAAATACAGATACCATAAAATATCCTTTTTATTATATAATAAAAGTGCAACATCATCTAGGAAAAGGCTCAATAAATAAATCTATGCGCCAGGAAACCCTTCCGAGGGATATCTCTCACCTTTCATCCCGTTCCCACAAAATCTAAAAGGGCACTGATCTGGTACTTCACTGATCCCATAAACGTAAAATCCACTACAGTTACGTATGGTTACGTTTACGGACCAGTAACAGCAATTGCCATCTTTTGTAAAACACACTGTCCTTGTCACGTTACCGTCTTGGATGGAGGGATGATCACCACGCAGCCATCCAGGATACTGTGTGCCACAGTGATGTTTCTTGACACAGGCTGTTGTCATGCGAGTTCCTGATTGGCCAGTGAATCTGTACCATCCTTGAGGCTTGCTGACGTCACATTTCATCACGTGATAGTCATGGTATTTGGAGGAACGGTCAAGCATAGTAAGGAGAGTGTAGTTTGTACAATCTGGTACTACTACAGCGTTCACAAAGGTGTGGACAGCAAGGAGAAGGAAGAGAAAACTCAAATGTAGAATTCTCTGGAAGCATCAAAATTGCGTGAAATTTACCTTGTCTACAATAAAAAAACTGACTGTAAAAAGCAAAAGCATTACTACTAGAGTAGTCTACAGTGTCGATATTTCGGTCTTTCGCGAGGTAATCGATCAAGATAAAGAGATAATATTGTATATTTTACGTTAGACAACTTCGTTATTAAGGGTATGCCATAGAGGCCATCAATGGATTGAAACACTAGGAAGAAGAAGAAAACAAGAAAAAAAAAGAAGTAAAAAAAGCGAGAAGAAGAAGAAGACGAAGACGAAGAAGAAGAACTGAGAAGAAGAGGAAGAAGAAGAAGCAGAAAGAGAAGAAGAAGAAGAAGAAGAAGAAGACGACGACGAATACGAAGAAGACAAAGAAGAAGAAGAAGAAGAAGAAGAAGAAGATTGAAGAAGAAGACGACGAATACGAAGAAGACAATG